TCGCAGAACTCTCTCCCAGCGCAGCATTCTTTAAAGTTGTCATCATTCTCTATTGGTTCTTATAGTTTATCTTCCGGGCTTTTTTTCTTTGCTTGCGTTGAGTTCGTTTAGAATCACCTGGGTGAGATCATGACCCGTACACGCGTGATGTACATTGGGTTCATGCCGTGCCTCTTAGCTCGCGGAATCTGCTGACTGTCCGGTGTGGCAAACTGAGCGTTGGCATTCAAGTAGGCCTCAGTTTTGCGCCGTGGGGATCATTGCGCCATGCAGCGGCAGCATTGACCCGCAAAAGATCAGGCCCTGTGCTTGTACTGACATTGCTATCCATGCTATACACTGTGCTCGGGCAGGAAAAACGACTGCAGCTTTGCGAGGGGGAGTAGGGCTCATAACTGGCACTCGTATCGCAGGTACAAAACTCTTCTGCACTGCTTCAGCAGCACTCCTCATACACCTACTGCACAATGGTCATGAAGATCATGAAGACGATGATAATTAAGGTTATGATAACATTCCATAACATTCCTACGTACTAAATCAATCTAAATCATACTAATAGTAGTACTGTAGACAATAGTAGTATGTTAGGTTAATATCTTGATATGGTAGCTACATGATGCTACATCAGTATAGCTACTCCATGCGCAGCTAAGGCCACAGGCTTGAAGTTCAGCGAGGTGCCACCACCACCGCCAGAAGCTCCGGAGGCTGAGGCCATGCTGAATTCAGCTGAAATCCTCCAAACATCTAAAATCAATGAAAATCATCTAAAATCGCAAAAGGTTTGCTGGAGATTTTTGAAAATCAATAAATTGGTCAGAAGGATGAAGATCGATTCACAATCGTCTCAAGATCTCTCAAGACATATTGGGTACATTTAGGTATGAGATGATATTACTTGATAACAGTGAAGTATGAGACTATTGGGATACCGTGGAAAAAGTGGGCCAGTGCTGCAGTGCTGTAAAGCCGCATGCTTAAGAATCCTTAAGACATTTATTTGCAAGTTTGGATCAGACTTACCTGAAGGTCCTGCTGTAGCAAGCACATCACAATCTCTACCCACAGCGAATTTCAAGCTAGACCCAAAAAGCTGAACATTTTCTTGGGAATGTTAAGTCACAGCAAACCTTATTCAACAATCCTTGATAGTTATTGGCAATATTGGATGATAAAATCATTCCAAGGTCTGAAATGCTCTTCCCCAAAGTCGTGCTCCTCATTTTGGCTGCTCCTGGCTTCCACTGTCAGGCCATACGGAAAGGGCTTTGGCCCGAGGCGTGGCACAATCCGTCACCAGGGCAGGAGCTCAAAGCATCTCAAAGCACTCAAAAACAACAACTCATGCTGAATGCTCTGTTAACAAGAAGGAAGCATACATTGACATACCCTTTTGTAATCAAACGTGGCAAACGTGGCAATGGAAAATCCCATGAAAATCCCCTATCGGCCCCATCTGTAAATGGCGGGTTTGAATGGGAAAATCATCTGGATTTTCCATGATTTCCAGCACGGAAGAGGCGCCTGAGCCACCTCCAGCGAGGCCCTGGTGTGATGATCTCAGGGATTGGGATTCCTAGGGGTTGCCTAATGAGGTTACCCCAAAATGCATGGTTTATAGTGGAAAATCCTATGAAAATGGATGATGTAAGGGTACCACCATTTTAGGAAACCTCCAAATGGTCACATAGATTTCGTTCATCTGATCATTTTCACCTTTGACCTTTGGAGAATACGGCCACTTTTGATGATCTTTTTTGGGGTCACCAGTTTTACACAAGGCACATGGGTGTGCACGTATCTCATCATGATGCCAATTAATGCTGTAAATTTATCTGTTTTGAACGATATGAGCAGCGTTTGACTACGTAGTAGTTGTATATTTTTGAGTTCAATACATGCTTTGCCTATGCGTTGCTTGTCTTCAGATATTTTTTGAGGCATCTTGGCATGACATGTTGACACTTCTGTTCAGCCACCGCTGCACAGCGGCAGGGGGGACATCCCGGAGCTTGGGCCAAAGCCAGTTCCTCCCAAGGCAAGCTTATTTCGGGACCGGTTTTACAGAGATGAACATCCATTTACCAGCTTTTTTTTGCTGTTCCACACAAAGGTTCCAGCATTGTTGCCCTGCCCATTTGACATCATTTGTGCCATGGTCAAAAAAACGGGTTGTTCTCCCAAAAAAGGGTTTGACCATCAAGCAAATAATAAGGATTCATATACAGATTATTAGGATTCCCAATATGAGATGGATGACCACAACTCATGTACCATGTTTTGACCATGGCACACTTGACATTGATACAATCAAATAGTACTGGCGGATGGCATTCTGCTTAAATCAGAGCGACACGGTTGTGCGTTTCTTGATTTTCTTGTGCCCAAGTTTCCCAATTAAATCAGCTCTGTCAAGCTTCAATCAAGGTCGTTGAGGTTTGAGTTCTTGCTTGGTGGGAAAACCTTGACGCTTCACCGATCCTAGCCAATTGCCTCATAGACCACAAACATGTTTGGCGTGGTTTGATGTGGTTTGTATGAGGTCCAGCACATTTGTTTCTGGCTGTGTCACATGCACTCAATTGTTTGTGTTGGTTTCCATGGTTTTTGTGTGGTGTAAACGCTCTTGACTTGCTCATATTCTTAGAGGTTTCATGTCTTCCCATGCCTTTCTCATGCTTTCTCATTCAATGCATCCTTTCTACTGTTTCAATTTTTTCCAATGTTTCCAATCGTCTCGTATATTTCCTAATGTCTTGCTGGCTCCAATACCTAGCAATAGGTACCAATTGCTACAAAAAAATGGCTACCAATAGCTGCCAAGAGCTACCACACTCCAAACAATGACTAGAAACTGGTAAAATCGGAGCCTGAGATCTCCGATGTTCACCTTATTGTTTCATATTTTTTCATCAGTGTTCAGTGCTCCAGTGCTGTAGAGTGATTCCACAATGCCACTGCGATTGCCCGGCCTCAGCGCGGCATGCCGAGACCTCCACCCCCAGGCAGGGCTAAAACCAGGCTTCCTGGTTTTACGGCGAGGTGTGATGGTTCCATGGTTCCCCAAAAAGCGCCCCATGAGAGCTTAGAGTTTCTGAATGTTTCTGATCTTCAGACAAAGCCACCAAGAATGAGTGAGAAAAAAATGTCATGTTCTCACATCTCACCCTCATGTTGTCACTGCTGGATTGGACACGTATTGGATAGTATCGAGGTGACTTCGTGGCAATATCGACCCTCAGAACAAAGCTACATCCTGCTTTTTACGCATTCTCTGTGTGTGCCAGTTGGTGGCTTCTCAGCATCCAATTGGCGGCCTGCCAACAAGATTCTTGAAACCGAGAGTGTAACTTGGCGGTGAGGAATTCTGCTCCCAGTCGATTGTCCAGCTTCGAAACATGGTGATTTGGGTGTTGGAAGCAAGTGAGATTCCGATTCCCCGTGTTGGCTGCAGTGATAGTGCTATACGTTTGAATTTTGATGATCGGCATTCAACAGTATGTATTGTATATGTATGAACACTTTACTGTCTGATATATCTTTACTTATACATACATATATATATATATACATTTTATTGCTCAGAATATTTGCACAATCTATATCATAGTATCTGATGGACAAGCAATGCACTTACATTGGGTGAACGAATTAGTGGCCGTTGCAAGTCTTGTGTTTCTGCTGTGACCCTTTCTGCTGCACGTTGTCTTGTCGATCGCACTATGCCTACAAGTTATGCGCATGATTACACGTTCTCACTGTCATGTGATATGCACCCATGTTCAGTTGCGCGCACTCCACAACTTGTCTTCACTTATCTTCAGTTTTTCAAGCGGACAAACTCGCTTAGCAGATCTTAGCAGTATATAAAGAATATTAAACATATATCAACGTTTTACCCTGTTGCGCCGGACAGGTTTAAGACCCGTTTTAGTAATGATCAAGATTGATCAATCTGCCGAATTCCGGCCAGCCAAGGCTGCTCCAAGCTCCAGTCGTGCGCGCCGGCTGCCTTGGTAGCAACAAATCTATTCGTATACTCTCGGGATCTCTCGGGCTTCAAATGCGGAGCTGCAATGCCTACCAGGGCCTACCAGATTGATATAATTTGCAGAGCCTACCCAAATCTGACATTACATGATATGACATATAAATCAGACATGGCGTCCCATGCAATCTCCACGCTGAGGCACCGCAGTGGATATGAACGAGGACGTGCAGGCGCTTGTTTGAAGGGTGTGTATGTGCACTCGGAAGATGCTTGTTCAGTGCAAAACATAGGGTGAGGTACTCAGCATAAAGCCAATTACATAGTAGGGAAGCACCCTTCTCTCAGACATACCCATTTTTGTTCAGCTGACCTTTCTTTTTGATGCTGTTTGTCGCTTTCAAAACTGCCTTGGGCCAGCTGGCAATCACAAACCATGGTCATTTTGGTTTTTAATTGTGATGATGATGGAGGTACCCTCCAAATAGTGATGATATGATAGGATACATTTTTTTTTGCTACCCTCCCCAATTAAAACGGCTTTCTTAACCCAGGGTTGACATTAATTTTCACAGGTGGTCTTGGCACGAGCTCGCGGAGCACTTCTCCGACGTCCACGTGCCAAGGGCAATTGGGTGCAGGCGCGGCACGTTGCGCCGGAGCAAGCACTGCAGGTTGCATTGTATCGAGGCAGGGCAGACAAGTCTATTCTAGAAGTATCCAAAGGATTGAAGTACTGTCAGATAAGTGGATGGGCTTAGAGGCTTAGCCTGCAAATCCGAAAAAGAGCAACGTAAGTAAATGTAGTTAGCACTTTGGCCATTGACAGGATTTTTTTCCACATATTTCAGTGCCGCGATGAGTGCCATGGTTGGGTGGAAGGTGTGAGACTTGACGCGACATCTCAGCGCTTTTGCTCAAGTCCTGCCCAGAACCGGCCTTGTCATTCTGTCCTGGATCTCCGAAGTTAGGGAGGCGGAGGTCCGGACTCCTATCATGGCTTCCCTGAAGAGGTTGCCTCGGCATTGCCTGGATGCCACAGAAATATGGTTGGCAAGATGCATTGGATGATCTTTGCTGTTCACCACAGACTTTCAAGTACAATGTAGCCATCAACTCCTGCAAGAAGGCGCAGCAGTGGCAACGTGCCGTGCGCTTGCTGCTAGATCTTCAACTGTCCCGCGGACAACCAGATGTTCTCGCTTTCACTGCAGCCCTATCAGCATGTCAGGGTGTTGCAGAATGGCAGAAAGCTCTTTGGTTGTTTGCAGACTTCTCGAGCAAAAATATGCAAGGAAACCTTGTTACGTTCACCTCAGTCATCAGCGCATGCTCCTCTGCGGTTAAATGGCAAGATGCTCTACACTTGCTGAACTTTTTGGATGAGAAGGACTGCACATGTTGATACATGATGATACATGCAGCAGTCCCACGAGATTTTCCATGAGCATGCTTTTCATCCAACTCTGATCCATAGTCCATAAGTGTACAGAGTGCTGCCTATTTCCCGGAAGTTGCGCTGATACCTTCCAATTCTAATTCCTGTTCAAATTCAAACAGACTTGTGGCTTCTCACTTCTATTGTATGGCATGCCCATTGTAGAATACCATTGGCACGTTCCCAGTAAGTTTCTTCACTTATATTGCTGTGGCATGCTGTGGCAGTGGTCCAAAGTCACCAGCAACAAGTTAGGGTATTAAATGTATTAAGTCCAGGACAAGCTTTGAATACTTGATGTAAATGTAAAGGTTGTTTCTGAATTATTTGAAACGAAGGCCACCCACATTTGATGTTTTCATTGAGTGCCACTTCAAAGTCGAACCACCTGAGGGCATGTGCCGCATGTGTTTGTAAAACTTCACACAAATGATCACACATGTCACATGTATATCTATAAAATAATATAGAATATTAAATATACATTATAATTACAATATAATATACATATATAATATATTACAACATGATATAATAACACACACACACACGATCACACACGTATATATATATATAGTAGAATACAATAGAGTTATGGAGTTATGATGATTGCCGTAGGATGTGATCACCTACAATGCAGCCCTGGGCGCATGCAGTCGCTCGAGCCGCTGGCACCAAGCCTTGCAGCTGGTGAGGGAACTCGATGATCTTCGAGGTGACACAGCTGCGCTGCGGATGTTTGATGTTGCTTTAAGGCTTGCATGATGAAATGTCATAAAATATGATGAAATATGATGAAATATGGTGAAATATGGTGAAACATGGTGAAACATGCTGTTTTTGAAATGTGTAATTGGGTATAACCAAATTTCGGAACATGATTTGTGTTGAATTGGGTATATTTCACCATATTTCACCATAAATCTAGTGCCCCGTGTGAAATTGCTGCAAAAACAATTCGACGGTTCGAGTTGTGCTGTGACAAGCACGTTGTAAATTCTGTGTCATAATTGCCAGGATTAGCCTGGCGCTGGGGTTACATATCTTCAATTACACTGCATATATGCAGCTGCATTTATATCACATCTTCATTTTAGATCATGTGCGAAGTACACCTCCAGTGAACACAAAATCACAAATACATGTGGCAAACCCAATGATACAACATTCCCAAAGTCACCAGAAATGGGATTGCAACCATCCCCTTAAAGGGTAGGTTTGTGGCACGGGGTTTCCCACACAACTTATCTCTTGCTGTCCAAGGCAACCTTGTGACTTGCAACACATTGATCAACGCATGTACCAAATCCCAGAGATGGGAAGCGGCCTGTGCTGTTTTGGCCACTGGAAGGAGCAGGGGACGCATCAATTTCCAGAAGGGGATGGTCACGGATGGTCGTCTCCCTACTAAAAAAGGGTTCAGATATAGTGGTTCAGATATAGTGTTAATGTACTCGTTCTAATTCATCACCACTGGTGGAATGAATATCTTCGTGTACATGTAACGTGACATAACGTGACCATGGCACACGTGGCATGCTCCCGAACTTTCGTATGCTCATGTTCAGACATTCCCCAAGTGATCAGAAAGCGCTCCCTGGAAGGAATCAAGATCTTCACTGTGATGTTATCAGTTTCAACACCGCCATCAGCGGCATGAAGTCCTGGTCCATGGCTTCAAAGATGTTGTCACAGCTGGCTGTTTGGAGCGTCCAGGGGGATCTCAGCAGTTTCACTTCAGTGATTGCAACCCAGAGATGGCCCCAAGCCCTGAACTGCTTGAAACTCATGAGAGATCTGGGATGCCCAGGTGCAGATTTCCGAAAAAACCGGGGGGATTTTGAAGATTTGCAGCCTTTACAGCCCCAAGATGATATTGAGGAAACGCAGGTATCATTATTATTATGTATCAACAGTCATCAATAGTCCTGCACATTCCTAGTAATGGAAGACTCATTCAGGTTTGTTCAGAAGCGATAAACATATGGTAGTCGCTGAGTTTGCTGTGTTTTGTGGTTCATCGGTTTGTCTTGTGCTTAGATGTATGTAGACAGGTCAGTATAGACCGCCTGTATGAAAGACTTTTATATGTTCTATGCTACAGCAGCATCTATGATCTACAGTACACAGACGCTCTCTCCCTACTGTGGATGGAAGCAATCCTGCACCAGTTGGAAACTATTAGGTAACTATGAATCAAGATAAATAATGGGATTGGAAGGGAATAAAACATCTACCAACTGGTGCAGTATTTCTTCCATCCACAGTATCTCTCTCTCTCTAAACTGACATCATTAATTAATTATATAATATAATATAATATATATATATTATATTATATCATATCATATCATATCATATTATATTCTATTATATTATATTATATTATATTATACTATATTATACTATATTATATTATATTATATTATATTATATTGTATTATATATATGATATAATATACATATATATATATATCAATAATAGTATATATCAATAATAGTATATATATATATATGTATATATATATATTGTATGCGTTGTGTAGTGTAGTTATGCTGCTTTGAGGGTATTAGGTATGGCGCAGTCCAGCTTGCTGGATGAAGCTGGGCTATCCTCTGGTCCTTCAATCGTGACCCGACAAGTCCGAAAATTGCCTGCTGGTGTCCATATGCGATAATCCATCCCAAAGTGATGGAGGGAAACGTCCCTGAGCAAAGTTTTTCTCCTGTGCTCTGCAGTTGGTCTGCCTGCTGTTCCACTTCCAACTGATTAGACACTGATAGCCGAAGCACCAGCTTTTTCTGAGCAACCCGAAGATCTCCCCACTGCACCGCTACAGGATCTTCTGGACCGCGAAATGCTGCCACCTGCGACATGCCATGGATGCGCATTTTGCAGCTGTTCCAACTGGAAAAAGTGGATCTGATTACTTACAACACAGCAATTGAGTCATCAGACTGGCAGAAGGCATTTGGGTTCATGCTATGTGCTGCGGTTTGGGTCAGATGGTGTCAGTGCGAAAGCTGTGGGATGTAATTGAAGCAGGACCATGAGGGTTGCAGAGAGTAGTGAGAGAGGACTGGCTGATTGGATTTGGACCATCTATGTCAGATCACGAATGCCGCCAATCATTTCAAAGTGGGCCATAGGCCATATATATTATACGTATATATGATCATTATATATAATATATCATATATACTTTCAATCATGTTCATGTTTTTGTGCAAGGGGCATTGGCAAAAAAAGCATTCACCAAAGGTGGAGCCATGTTGAAGTTTACCAGCTGACAGGCGGCCGAGCTGATGGTGGAACTGAAATGGATCCAGCTCCAGGGAAGTGTCCCTTGGTGGCTAAGCAGCTGGGTCTATGGTTCAAAGGCTTGCTGGAAATGTGAATTGAGAGGATTTTGACTGAAATCAGAAATGACGTTCTGGATGAACATCTTACATCCATCACAGCTACGAAATTGAATCTTTGTTTCATGGTCATTCTGTCAAAGAGTCAATATAATTGCCTAGCACATGCTATTTCTGTGAACCCAGCACCAGTCCTTCATCCAACGAGCATTTGTGATTTGGTTGTTTTGTATGTGGGAACAAAGCCAACTGCCATTCAGGTGATCACCTACAGTTCGGCCATCTCTTCCGGGTCGTTTTCAGAGATTTGGGAGCTTCGCTTGCAATATCTGCAACATATGCGCGCAGTTCATGTAGAGGGCAATCTGATCTGCTACAACTCATTGATGGCGAACGGAGCCGATGGTGCCTGGCATCTTGCTTTGCATTCCTTGGACGCAGTGAAGCATCAGATGAAGGCAGACATCATTACGAGCGCCTAGACAAAGCAATACAGGGGCAACCGGGGCAATCTGATGGGTGATGCATGTTGATTCAGCTTGGGACTGTCCACAAGACTAATGCGGGTCCTTCCACTACTACAAAATCCCTGCTGCATGCCAATTCCAGCCAATTCCCAATCTGTACATGTTGTACAGAGTATGCAGAAATTCATTCTTGTCATTGGGCTGCTTTGCTGGCAGATGCTGATTCAAGCGGATTTGCATTTTTTTGCACCATAGTCGCAGCACCAGTATCCCTCAGACTTGTTTGAAAGTATGACTATGAAACACATGACACGCTAGAACGTGACTGAACCGTGTAGTCCCTGTATTCCCTACCGTGATGCAAGACCATCAAACACCAATGCAATCAAACATCCTGCATTGTGTCTAGTCATCCTGAAGCAATTCCGGAGGGCAACTTAATGATCCGTTGGAATCGCGAAGCAGAACATCCTATACAAAACACATTGAACAGGTCATTGTATCATATTGTATCCATTTTACGCGCCCGAGATACCCTGTCAGTCCCTGTACCAACTGGCTATCCTCAGGCAATGCCGCGATCACGGCTGTTGCCGAAAGCTGGGAGATTGCTCTTCAACTGTTGAAGGAGCCCAGGATGGTCATCGTCATCAATCCATGGGGATTAAAAAAAACCCCATGGGGAAAGGATTCCCAATATGGATGACCATAAACATCCATAAACATCCATAAACCATATAGCACGTTTATATGTTTTGACCCTAGCACATATGAGCATCTATGAGTATTTATATGCATGAGCAATCCTGAGGATCTATATGATATTATAATATATTATATGATTATCTAAGCGTATCTATGAATATCCAATATGAATATCCAGGGTAGAAATCCAGTCAGGAAACTGCCAGGGTCAAGTCGGGAAGCTGCGAGGGTTGAAAGGGTCAAGTGAGATATTACGCAAACAAGAAAAACACACACAACACAGTTTAACACAGTTTAACACACTCAGGAATTTCGGTCCAGTGACTAAATATTTGATGTAAGCCGCCTGTGAGGACCTGGATGGCCTGTCAGCCAGCCTCATTAGCTTCAATGCTGTGTTAAGTGGCTGCCAAAAGGGAGGCCAGTGGCAGCGAGCTTTGTACATTCTTTGGTCCAACGAGTCCAATGAGTCCTCTGATTTGATCAGCTACAATTCTGCGATCAGCGCCTGTGAGGAATGGGAATGGGCCATTGAACTTTTGAGGGATCTTCAAGACAAAAAAATGCAGGGAAATGATGTGACTTGCAGTGCAGCTATCAGTGCCTGCGGACGATGCAGAGAGTGGCAAAGAGCAATCCAACTGTTGATGGACACAGTAAAAAACAGGTGCCTGGCCTGTGGTGCGTTCTTTGCGGGATTTAATATGTTTTAAAAAATGCTAAACTGATGTCAGATATCCACCTTCTGGAATATGAAGTGAAGACAACATCTGGATATCTAGAATCTTGTGACATCTAGTGACATCCAGTGACATCTAGGCTCGTGTAATCTTTGTAGCTTTGGAAACACTCTTGGATACTCTTGGATGCTCAGTGTGGAGTGGAGCTGAGGACCTCCAGCATCATCACCTACAACAGTGCCATCAGTGGCTGTGAAAAAGCTGGGCAGTGGCAAAGAGCTCTTGGACTGATTTGGGCTCTGGAGGAGACACTGTGATGGAGCTTAGAGTGAAAGATGAACGATGATCAGTTCATCAGAATTAAGTTTGAACATTTGAACATGTTCTTTTTTGTCCTCTTTCTCTGTGTGGTTCTAGGAAGCGTGTCAGACTGAGGAGAGAGATTGAGGCCAATGTCATTACATACAGTGCAGCAATCAGTTCTTGCGAGAAGGGTGAACAATGGCAATGGGCTTTGTTGTTGTTGAACGACCTGCTGGACAAAAGACTTGCAGGCAATCGGATCACATACACATCCACTATAAGTGCATGCGAGAAGGGAGGACGTTGGCAATGGGCGTTGTATTTCATGGCCGAGCTACATTCTATGATGATCAGATGCAATTCCATTGCCCACTATGCTCCCAGGTAGTCAACAGCATCCATTTTCGGGCGAGGATTTTGGGAGGTTTTTGGGCTCGGGACCCTGGCCCCCAATCCATTGAAATGGGTCACAAAGATGCCTTGTTGGCTGAACCATTTTCGCGAGCAAGTGAGGCTGTGGTCAGAGCATGTGAGTCTCAACACCAATGGCAGAAGGCGCAATACTGCCATGATGTCATGACACATTACCATTGGGAGCGACAGCATTGCCAATAGTTTAAGAGGACTGCTACTAGCTGTAAGTTCCAAGATGAGAAAGAATCCAGTACCAATTCTGACATTCTTTTTGAAGGGAGTCTACTTGTCAAAGTCAATCAAATTGTTATTGGGAAGCTTACGGAAACTCTAATGCAGGTGCTTTTCCTCATTGCCCAGATGAATGTTTGGGATGCCACCCTGTCAGGCGCTTCAGCTCTACGCAGACTTCAAGGAAAGCTCGCTACAAGGACGGTGCCGGGATGTGTCAGATTGGCTGACATAACAACAAAAACAGGGCCAGGGAACAGAGGTCAAAACAGGTCGAACTGGAGAGCTTTTGAGAACTTAGGGGGTTGGACTTCGATTGTTGGAATTTTGTGACATTCTCTGACCCATCCTGGCAAGGCAATATTTTGATGTACAGCACTGCCTTCAATGCATGTGAAGAAGGTCTCCAGTTTCAGCACTCTTCACAGCTTCTGGGTCATCTTCAAGACGCTCTTTACACCGTGTTGCGGAAAAGACCTGCGTGGATGCACCGGGTGAGTGGCTGCAAGCTTTGGCCAATCCGAGAAACAGGAGTAGAGTCTGTGCAAAGGATGACAATGGCCATCTTGTGTTGAGATGTGTTGAGGGTTTGTGTTGATGACGACATCGGAATTTCGGGGGCAGAGAAGGAGGTTGTCGATGACTAGGATTAATATTGACGAAATTCCGGTGTCACAACGACAGCAGGGCCTCAATGGACATTCGCTGGGCAATCCAACCCGCAGAATCCCCCGGTCTAAACCCAGTTTTTTTTTGGAATATACTCTACCCCTCCAAAACCATCCAAAACCTAAGAATTGTGAATTGTCTGATCACGAAAGCTAGCTTCTGCTAAGCTAGCTGAAGTCCCTCTTGCTTTAGCAAGGTATTGGCAGGGGCTGGAATCGCTCACGTGAAAGTTCCCAGTAACATTCAGTAACTACCTCCCCGTCCCGCCTTTGCTGTGCCCCCCCTGGGACATCGTCGCCACATCATCAGACTTACTTTACACTTCGTCACTTTGTATCACTTCGTATCACCCAATTCCTACACCGCTCTTTCACCACACCTCCCTCCTCCCTTTACCCCTCAGCTTTTGTCCTCCCTTGGCTTCAAATTAAACTCAATTTCTGGATAGTGTCGGATAGTCTTGGAAACCATCCCTTTAGATAGTTGCATTTTTCCAAACCAAGCTTGCCTTGAGAAGGTTTAGTGGTGAAGCTGCAACGCGTGTCGTCAAGCCCCATGTTTCAGATTGATTAAACACGAAGGGGTGCGACATGTTTTGAGGACATTTTCACATATAACGTTTGATAAACGATTTGTGTTTCTGGTGATATCCATTGGTGGTCATCACTTGTCGTCCCAGTGAAGGAGCTTTTGGACAACTCCCCAGCTACATCAGTCATACATCAGTCATACTGTTTCAATGGTTGTTGTTTTTCCAAACGCGCTGTCGATCGTGAGAAGGCCTTTGCGAGACATGACACCACCGGCCTCGGTGAGCTTAGTCCGAGCCCCAAGCTGAAGCCGTTCAAGACTTCACCGCTCCGCATCGCTCCGCTACGTGTATCAAATTGCGAACAACAACTGAATGAATAGAGGCCTTAGCAGATCCCTCAAACTCGTTCCCGAAAGGTCTTGAGTCTTCTGTTGTCGAAAGTCTCACTTGATTGAACAAGTAACTTTTGGTCCAAGTCCATCTACGGCACTCAATGCAGGCGTCGATCAATTTGCCCTCTTCCTTCAGTCCTTGTCAGTTGGACTGAGTTTACGTGAGGCGGCCGCTAAGCTTTCCCTGGAAAGGTTGACCCGGATGACAGACATTTACAGATTTTGCAGTGTGTTGACCAAGTTGTTTTTTTTCTGACACGAATACATGCTGCGGGCGTTTGTGGCTCAGTCAGAAAAAGGAGCCTTGGCAAAAAAGCCTTGGCTTTCTGCTGCAGGCGTTTGGTGGTCATTGGGGAACCTATGGGAACCTCAAACAGACCCAAGCAGCCCATCCTTTATGGCCCATTGGAATCATCAAATGGAAGTAGGATTGCCATTGCAGATTCTGGATTTAGTAGACCGATGTAGACCTGCTGTAGACCTGCTGTATCCTGCCACCCCCACATCCCCAAAAATGGCAAAATAGTGCAAAACAGGTCATGCTCGCGGCGGACAAGCTACTGCTGACGAGCACCATCAGAAAAAATGCCACGGAACTCAAAGGAAAAGAATTAGCTTTGCACAAGGCGAGGGTTGGGCGTCCATGCAAATGCATCTCAGAGAGTTGCAAACAAATGGATGTGGGAGACCTTCTTTATATTTTCAACTTCGTATAATGAACTGACAGAAAGTGCATGAAAGTGCTGCAATTTCCCAAACACATTCATGTCCCATGCGCAGCCCTTCTCACATCTTATAGTTACTCTTATGACATCCCTTATCATCACATTTTGGGATTTTCAGCTGTTCACTTTTTAATATCGACACGGGAGACATCGGGAGACCTGAGCCCTGCAGGGCAACTTTGATGCAGTTGGCACCCAGGCAGCGGTGCTTGCAGGTTTTGCCGCCACTTGGCACCACCATTCAGCCAACGCCGATCAATGCCGATCAACGCGTTGAAACATGTTGAAACATGTTGAAACATGTTGAAACATGTTGAAACATGTTGAAACATGTTGAAACATGTTGAAACATGTTGAAAGAATTCTGAGATAAACAATACATAAGCAATACTTTAAGCTACTGCTAGTGAATCAAGATTGCAGACTTCCGATTGCATGACGTCGATCAATGATGGATCGTCGGATCGTTATGGATCGTTCAGTATCACAGCCATCATCAGCGTTGTTCCACTGAAGCTGGACAATCGCAGTGAGGGGCAATGATACTGTCACTATCACAGTGTCTTTCGACCACTAGATGAGTAGAGGTAAGTCTATCCTTGACTCTTGACTGTGTTAAGCTCCATTGGTGTTTAAGATCGAATTTCACAACGAAGCGAACCTATACAATGATATACAATGTACTTTGTGTATCCTTGTGTGATTTTCACGCAGTTGAAGGTTGTTATGGTTGTGGAGTTCCACATGCCGGAGGAAGCGCATTTTGCTCTGCAAGGTGTGTACTACATTTTTGCCGTCATCACGTGCCTTGGAAGATCTTGGATATTTCGATTCCAATCAACCCACAAGGTATCACAAGGTGTTTGTCAGAGTTTGTGTCCTTTTTGGGTTTGGCATTTTCTGCTTTTTCAGGGTCACAGAAAAAAACCAAGAGACTTCGTGCATTTTCGTGCAAACAGAAACGCAACGAACCCCTTTGCTCTATCTCAGGCTTGTTGCCAATCTCAGATGTGTGGGAAGCTTAGACCCTGATGTGGCCCAAGAGTCTTGTGAGTATCAGCCTTGCCTTTGTAGTTGCAATCAGTAGGGACATGTTTTGACTTCTTTTTTCGAAGAAACACCATTAAACGCAAAGATTGTGCCAACCACTTTCTTGATCAGTCAGTTTGTATGGAACAGTGATTCATGATAATGATTGATAATGTAGTTCACAACATCTGCTAGAAAAATAACACAATGCAATGAATAAATACACACTACATCCACGTACACGGAATATCGACAAAGTCTAGGGCCCCAGACATCACCATCCGCTGGGACGCCAGTGTCGACAGGTGGCTATGACCACCTGCATCACTGTGATGGGCACTGGCTTAGCCTTGAGGGGCCCTGATGGCTCCATGGTACGGGCCGTGGAAGGCATGTACAAGCAGAGAGCCATTGTTTTCAGGTGCCACGGCGAATTCCTGCGGTTTGAAAGAGACCCACCACTGGAGTTTGACGTTTGGATCAGAAAATACTTGAGAGGTTGTGGTTTTGTGGCTGGCAGTGCGATTGCATTTTTTAAAGGCATTTTTAAAGATTATTGGAGGACATGTAGCCAAGACTGTGGACCGGATAGCAGAAAAAGGGCAAAAAGTAATGCCTCGCGTTTTCTCGGATGGATCAGAACCTATGATGCCATAGAGGGGAACACCCAGAGACACCAGCAACCCACCATTGATCACTAGGAGCCCCAGGGGTTTTGACCACAGCCGTGTGCAGTTTCAGGTCCTTCGGCACCGGCATCGTGTCATGTTGCCTTAGCGTTGCAGTGATCGCCTGGATAAAGATGCTGGGCGGAAAGGATGGCAGTGGAATATGGAAAGATATGGAAAGCATAATAAATCACTCATTTGTAGAGAATTTGTTCCATTCAAACCTCCATTTATAGGGGATTGTTAATTGCCACATTTGGGTACGAGATGGTAGTAACTAAGTAGTATATTGCATCTATAATATCTATATAATATGGCCATATATGGCCTATATTAATTTACCTTTCTAGTGGGATGAATTCTTGGATTCTTCTGGGTGTGTTGGAAGTTCTCAGCGCCTGAGGATGGACATAATACCCGCAGCAATCTGCACTGGAGCCATTGCATGGACCTTGTTCTCGATAGTTTCTCGCTTGCGCTCAGTTGCGGTTGCGGTGAGTGCGTGTTCTGATCGAAATTCTGTTGTCTCTTGTGATGAGTGTTTTTTTAACATTGACATATCACATACCCAACATGTGGGAAAAGACATAGTCTATACAACAGGGGCATGCAGAGGATCTCATGTTTTTTTTTCAATGTCGTTGGATATGCTTTCCTAAAACAACGTGTCATCACAGACTGGTACAGAGAATGGTACCTACAATATGATCTGTATGCCGTTTGCTTTCACCGTTTTTTGACTGCACAATTAAAAAAAATGTTCATTGATGCTTGAATAAGAGGGATGTCTTTTTCCATCTCTCTGGGGCTTTGTCCCTGATGAGGAGCTAGTGTGCCTGAAACGCAAACTGGAAAGATCCTTGTTCTCTCATTTTGGCCTCATTTGGTAGCTACAGACTACTTGTCAGCAACGACCATCAGGGTGTGCCACGGCATAGAGGACATTAGCTTCGTGTTTCCCTTTTTAAAGCCCACGTTTTATGATGGCAGATGATGGCAGGCAAAATATACAAATTTCTATTTGGACTTCTTCAAGTTCAACGAGGATGAAGCTGCTTGTCGAGAATCCGCAGCATTGTGTGTTTGCTTGCCATCATATCCATACAGTAGTAGCTGTGGTTCACGCTGGTGCCATGCTATTTACAATTAGTCAATTAGTAGGTAGCATTTGGTTTCGTTGTTTGCAGTTCTACTTTGCCAGAATCCTCCAAGCAATGTTGATAATGTTGGGGAAGTGTCAGAGATTTGACATGTTCTTAGTGTCTTAGTGGTTTGCTTGTGCTGCGCCATTTCATGCCATTTGATTTGTCTGCGATCAATCTATGGAGGGACTCATCCCCATCCATCTTCATTGCTAGCTTCATTTTCACACCACAGTCATGGATTATGCTTGCCAAGTTGACAAAAAATCACATATCTTGCTGGGCTTATGTCTACAAACGACTGGGCTGAGGTAGTTAGCTTGGACGACATTTTGGGAGCGGACCTTGTGAACAAAGAAGCCATTGTCAAACAGCTTCGCAGTCGCACCTGAGAGGAGTTCCGAAGCATTCCACATTTCTCGTAACATCTCGTAATTATGCTCAAGGGCTGAAAATTCTCAGCAGTGTTTCCTGCTCATGCCTCTTGAATCCTATCATGATCTTGAGTCCCACGTAGTCCCACATGGCCAGATTGGCAACGGCCCAGGTTGGGCGTCGGAAGCGATACCCTGGTGCGGTTACTGGGATCATTGACCCAAAACCGACGAGAACATACGCCTGATACCGACGTGTGAGGCGCTGGCGCCAGCTGGGTGTTGCCCGCAGGGGCGCCACACGCGGCGGCCGCCTCAAAAGCTGTTTCACTGAAACCCAGGGCGAGGCTGCCGATTTTCCAGCTTGTGAAAACCTTATGAAATGTTATGACATATAATAATGAATATCTACTGAATATATAATTCTAATCAATTTCAATCAATACTTCAGTAATTCAACTTGTGCCGAGATTTGAAGAGACGTCCTAGACGTCAGCATACGTCAGCCACTATCCACTCTGCCAAGTCAGGAGTACTATCCTTCATTGTTTCGGAGTGACGTGTTGATTTTAACGGCAAAGAGCCTCCAATCTTGAAAGAGCCATAACAAGGTAAGGTGACGATCCTGCAGTGGGTGTCCTAGCTTCAGTAAGACAGCAACTGTCCCAACAAAGTCCACAATATGATACAATATGATACGATATGTATCTCACATGTTCGAGCCCCCAACACAAGTATGATTCCTAATGTTCGAAACTAGCCTGTTCTTTTTTTTTCAACACAGGTGGGGCTTTATGGGCTTGGAGGTGTTTCTGTTCTGCGCCCAACTTGCAGCATGAATTCCTGTGTTCTCTTGTATCATTTTGCTAGCTACACAGCTACAAGAGGTATCACCAGTTTAGCATGTCATCCACTGGCAGGAATGTCAGAGTCCATGCCGCAAATGGCAGATACCGCAGTGCAAAGAGTAATGCAAGCACAAATGCCAATCATTTGTGCATGACCGGGCCTTGACGAGCTTCGGCATTTTGGCATGGCCAATGACATGGCAAAGCCAAGCCTAAATCGGCCCTTCACCCCTGAGCTACTGCTACAGTTAGCTACACTTAAGCTGGAGGTGTTTATATATAGTTGAAAGACTTAAGGTGTGTCTCGATGCCACAAGGCTATAAGATTGGTTTTGATGTACTACATCACGACTAGTTGAAAGACAACGTGTGGCTGGAAGTGTTTGATCGATACAACCAAGATGTGCTTAAACTACTTGCCCATCTCGATTTGTGGTTTCCGAGGATGGACTTGCAGCTTCATTCAAATTATGTTGGCATGTTCTTGTTTAGAGTGCCTCAAGTTGTCGTTTGGTTTCTTTCCCTCACACTTGAGATGTGTGGTAATGAAAGAATTCTGCAATGCTCTACACTTGAGACTGAAGATTGAATGATGAAACCGTTTCCATTAATAAACATTGGTATGTAGCCCCTCTGGGTTGCATTTTCAAAATCTTTCAACAACCTTCATTTTAAAGACGGGGTGAATGCCAGCTAGCACTACGAAGCAGCGCAGTGATCACTCGAAGATGTGGACGAAAACGGCAGAAAGGCTTCCAAATCCGAAGCCGTGCTCGCGGCCCAGAACTGGTGATGAAGAACAAACTTGAATCAGACAAGGGTGCAGTTTGGGTTGTTCATGGTTGTTCGGCCTTTTTCGAGATCAGCTAGTAAAGATTATATAGATTAATATTTATAGTCTGTATAGTGTAATAGATATACATCATTATACATCATTGATTGGATTATATTGATACATTTTCCTGCTGTCAGGTGGATGCGATTGTGACATGCTTGTTGGGCGATAGGCACTGCGCTGAGGATTTCCCGGAGTTTTGAGATGTTTTGAGTTTGATTTACTGTATACTGCAAAAAAAAACTGCTGGACCAATCTCTCGATTGAAAGAAGGACTTCATTTGCCGTATCATGCTGTATCTAAATTTCTCCTGCACCTGTACCCATCAAACAAGCCTCGGATACTTGGATGTTTCTGCTACCAAAGACCATGGGTGTACTACGTGGCTTGTCGCGTTCGGTTGATCTCTTCACAAATGGACATGGAATCATAGTCACTAGTAACTAGTAGCATCAGCATTTATCAGTGGTGTGGCGGCTTTCTTAAGAACTATAGTGGTTCATAGTGGTTCATAGTGGTTCTAAAAAAACAACAAGCAATAATTTAATGAACATCTTCCTGGAAACTGTGGGAACCGCCAAGGTCAACCATTTCCTTGTTCGTTTTTGGCGAGGCCGGGTTGGGACCCTTGGGACCCTTGGGACGCTAGGCTTCCAGCGCTGTCGGCTGTCATGGCTCAGGCCATTGAGCACGCATCGCCCAGACACGAGTTCGAAATGTGGCAGTTGGCGACCCACCTCACTGGTCCGGGCGCCGAGGGCGAAACGTTGGGTCGCTATACCCACGTTGCAGTTCGATTGTCGTGATGTGATTTATGTTGGGATGAATCTGCAGGGAATGTGTGATGGATTCCAAATAGGGATTTGGAGCAGCGCCAGTGGGTCAAGACATTTAACATGCTAGCTGCTAGCTCCCTTTTGGGCCTGCCATAGACATTTTAGATTGTACAAATAACTAGGATTTTCTTCGGCAAAGTTTTCAGGTTCTATACAGAGACAACACACACACACATCCTGTAAGAACGAGGGAACTGACTTGCCTCAGGCACGATACCAAAAAAAGACCAGAGAATGACGAACCATCCAAGAAGCAAGCATTTCCTGTAGAGACGGCTTGTTTGTTGCAATGATGGCTGACACAAGTTGAATGTCCCAAGCCGCAAGCCTGTGCTGACGCCAGAAGAAGCTTGTGAGGCTACTTGGTCCTTGGGTTAAGTCATCCTTCCTCGGAAAAAGTCGTCCCACTGTGGTGTGCCCATGCCGGTTTGAATCGTGACATGTTTTTTGTGGTCACAAGATGGTTGGCTTCTTTGGCTCAGATTATTAGACGAACGGAAGGCTGTTATCGCTCTTTAGAGGACCTCTTAAATGTAAAATAGGTTGCGCTGCAACATGAGCGGCCGCAGGGTGGTATTGAACAACAAGGTTCCTAATCAGGTGTGCCCATGCGCGGGGGTGACTTTTTATGGACAGGGGTGACTTAACACGACCACCAAGCATTTCCTACGTGGTCAACAAGATTGCTGGCAATCAAGCTAAGCAATCAATGCCCGAGGAGTTGCTTCCTCCATTGATACAGACCTGCATGTCGGTCTACATTGGTGGAGCTCGTATGGCTGGTTTCCAGAGGGACTTCTCGTATCATGATGGAAAGCAACCTGGTGTGCAGAACTTTTGATGAGAAAAGAGCTTTATGGACATGCTGGCTTTCACATAAACCCTGCTCTCTCTCTCTCTCTCTCTGGTGACTTTCTTGCATCGCCGCGACCAGGATTGTTTGAGCTGCTGGAGGTCAAACAAGAAGCAGCAATTGCAGCAAGGCCACTTTCTTGGCTGTATGCAGGATGCTTGCAGGGGCAAGTTGAGTTGAAGACGAAGACTTCCGATCTGTCTGTACAACAACTTTTTCAGATCTTTTTGAAAAAGGCAGCCAGCCCACGAGTGCTGAATTTGCCCTTCATGTGCTTGATTCGCTACCTCTCAGGGAAAACTTGGTGGATTGTGTCCAATGCACACAATGTCGGATCCTTGTCAGATGTGAAGGCGAAAGACCATTTTGAGATCCACAAGACACTAGGCGGCCACCTCTGTGAAACCGTGCATGAGGTGGTTGGCTCTATGTGGGGTATGTTTTGTCAACGTGCTTCTGTGGGCATGTGGTGGTCTATTACCTTTCACTTCCATTCAGACTGGTAGCAGCTCTGATCACTGGCTATGACCAACAGCGTGTCACAGCGAGACTCTGCCCGAGTTGGCATCAAACAAGCCCTCAAGAACGTGGCCGAGCTGGACAACCGTGATTGCATGTGCAAACTTGAAATTACCAGTCTTTTCAAAGGAGGGGCATGACTGTGCCCGAGGTAGACGCTATCAGAGCTGGCAGCGTGGTCGTGCAGCTACTGGTGGAATCTCCATCTCCAGGTGAGGAGCAAGGCTGTGGAGAAGAGCAGCCATCTCGGCAGCCACAGCTTCTACTCAGCGTGGCCCAATGGCAGCTGCTGCTGCAGCTTCTGAAGTCAGTATTGATCAGCGAAGCGGGCAGAGTGACTAGACTGTGACTAGACTAGATCAGGGAAACAGCCAAAGCCTTCTGCCATCTTCTGCAAACAATGTGTTTTTTCCTTGAGTGGACGAGAAAGTCCGTTTCGGGCTCTGGTGGCAAGCCGCCTGAATCGCCAAGCCAGCGACGTCTTTGACTATTGAGAGTGTCCGAAGAGCTCAAACAAGAAACCAAGGAAGAACTGGAAAATCCAAAGAAGAGAAGGGAAACCCAAGAGAAGGAAGAAGGAAGAGAAGGCAAACCCACAGAAGAAAACCAATGCAAAGACAATTGCAATGAAAAAGAGAGCCAGTTCAAAGAAAACCCTGGGTGCACGACTGCGCAAGTAGTTTCCAAACCAGCGTGTTTGGGCAGATAAGGAAAACGGCTTCAACATATCTGAACGGAAACCTCCACCCCAACTCCTCAATACTCCTCATAGGAAGAAGTAGCAAAAGTGCACACTACTGCGTGCCAGTAACACATCACATGTTTAAAAAGCAAAAGTAGCTCTCATCCATCATGTTCTGTTTCTTGGAGAGGTAGTCTGAACATGAGAGACGATTGACACACAATGGCATGTTTACAATGCTGTGAAGATCACAAAAAAGAACGTTGCAGAAAAACATGGAAAAACTATATAGGACGCTTCTGAATAAATTTAATGTCCGTGACAAACATACACACCATGACATTCCAGATAAGAGGAACTATCAGTGAAGAGTTCAGAGAGTTTTTTTTCCATGTCCAACACGTCCAACACAAGGCGGATCTTCAGATGGACTCTCGGCCTTCACAGGTTGTAGTCTAGCGGAGGCTGCAGCCTGCTGTGGGTTCCAATGGTTTTGGTTACTTTGAGACAGCGTTCACAGCCAGAATCAACCATCTTCCTGGGTCCTGAACCATGCAATTTTTTGGGGTCAAACGGTCAAACATTTTGAAAACCATATAATCAATACTAGAACCACAGAGAACCTTGCAAATCAAAATCTGGTTCTGCAAAAAACAACTACTGAATAAACAATCTTCAGATCTGAACAAATTGCAAAGTAGATCGTTCTTCACAATTCCACGTCTGGAAAACATGTCCTGCACCCAACCGCAGGCCATGGCTGGCGTGCCAAGTGCTGCAGACCAAGCACAGAGGCCGTTTTTTTTTGGGACTGGTACAGTAGCCACGCAAAACAAATCAGACCTAAAAGACTGACTGATTTTGGTCATGTTTTTCTAAAGTACCAACAATACACCGGTTTTTGGTGGTGTACCTCAATTTTGAACCATACCTGACATGGTGGCATGCAATTGGATCAAGACAAAAGGGAGTGCCAGATTATTCAAATTCTTTCCATCCGTATTGAACTCTGCAACATGTTTGTTCATGTGGTTTAAGGTTATGTGGTTTAAGGTTAGTATGTTTAGTGAAACCCTGCAGATGTTTGGAAATTTGGCCCACAACCGGAGTTGCCTCCTGGAGGTTTTTGCTGTGGCTGCCGAAACTGTCTGATGGCAACATCGACTGGCCCGCAGCGGAGGAGGGTTGCAGTTTTGAATGTTGCAGGTGTTGTTATTCTATCCGGGAGATCTAGTTTTATTGGATTGTCAGCCCCAACAGAGCCTTGAATGAAGTCCGGGGTGAGCTTCCATCACATGTAATTATGCATGTAGTCTTTGCCTTGCATTTGTCAACTGGGCATGTTTGATTCAGGTCAGGTCAGTAAAGATGTGTTTGTAATTGCGCTGCATGCCTTCAGTGAGGATATCTGTGTGTCAAAGTGCTCTTGCATGCATGAACACTCTGAACAGGAAGTAATGTTGTAGTTTCATTTTCATCCACCCATGCGACAAAAGACACTGTAATTTTGACAAACAACCTGCATCAAAGTCTCACACTTACTGACTTTGACACCGGATGGCATTTTAACTTACAGTAGTCATGCTGTCTTGTGCAAAAGACCCAGAAGGAATTGGATCTTGCACTGTTGGGCCTGTTGGGTCCTCTCTCCCAGGAGTGGCGCAGCAACTTCAAAGCTGGACCAAGATGAGCGTTTCGCATGCGGCAGGGCGGATCCGATGGGTCCCAAAACACCACGAAGCGCATAGATTTCAGATGGAGGACATGATTCTGCAGCTCCAATTTCCGAAAAGGCCTAAGCTGGGCCTAGTCTAATGATTCCAATGCCCCAGGACCAGCTGGTGATGGGTTGTAGCCTCCAACGAAGTCTATGGATGCTCCACGGTTCCAAGGCAGACCCGTGAGAACATGTTAGGTTTGGCAGTGGAAGATCAGCAACCTTAAGGGGCTGATCCCCACGAAGCGCAGTACACGACTCGGAAAACCAGGGCCCAGGGCCTTGGATCTGCACGATTTCTCGGCTGGTGTTGGATGGTGTTGGAGTTTCAAGATATGAACACACTGTTTTTGTCGTACTCGTACTTTTTGACTGACTTTATCAACGGCCTTAATTAATATGCTTTAATAATGATAATGATAACTATATGATATATTAGAATAAGGCTGATCCTGGTTGGTATGAATGAAAGCTGGCTTTATAGCTACTCGAGTCAGACACTGTGCAGTGCCAGATAGGTTCAAGCGCCGCTTTGTCTAGGATCGCGGTCGTCAACCATAGGAGATGTTGGCCTCAGAACTAAAAAGCTGTTTTTTCTTTTAAATCAATATTATCATACGTATAATATATACGATATATATATATATATAAAAAGCAGGTAAATAGAATATCTGCAGTTTAGTCTCCATGTCTGACTGTGGATTCTGCTATGACTCAGTACTATGCCATGGGCCGATCGGAGCGTTCTCAGCGCTGTGATGGCTCAAAGCAAAGCTTCGCCCCGCTTGACATTCGCAACAAATGAAGACTTCAACGAAGCACTGCTGGATGAGCCACTGGACACACTTTTTCTTTGCAAAAAAAAACTACTAGAGTTTCTGTATCTGTTGGCTTTGGCAAGTCTGCAGAATCAGCAGCTTTCCCAACATCTTTGCATGGCATGATTGCCAGTCATCCCCGGCAAATGCTCTTGTCGTTGGATCCGATTTCTTCCAGGCTGCTGTCTTTGATGTGATTAGCAGGTTTCAACTTGTTTGACCCTGTTTCATATTTGATGCAGCCAGGGAATTGCCACTAGATTTGTAGCTTGTACGGGTACTGGGCTGAATTACACAAGCTTCAAATTTCGGGAATAGAAGCGTTTTGCAACAGGTTCCTTGTTTTGCCGTTGCCATGTGTAGTTTTAAGATGTTTTAAGCAGAGCATTGACAGGTAGATTTCGGAAGGTCCAACATGTGGGGAGACCTGGCCTCTTGAATCGCCATGTCTCATCAAACCTGTACTACCACAGGATCTTTGCTCATAAAGTACTATAGACATCTATAGACTATGATGATTATCAATGACTAGGAATGAGTGACAAGTTTTTCGAATATTTTCACTTGACATTCATAGGCCTCCCAGCCAAGCAGTACCCCTCCCGGCCATGCCGTCCGTTGGACTAAGGTTTCCGCATGTGAAGTGGGGTCAGACCAAGGAAAAAGTCTTCGTGACATTTCTTGTAGGAATCTCAGCCGAAATCAAACCTCCATAGTCTTCGGAGGTTCTTTGGGTCGGAGGTCTGTTGTGTTGCCTGCACACACGTTGCCAGAACCTGGTGATCAAACTGCATGAATTCATACAAAGTCGATTAAAACCGATGATCAAACCGGAAGAGCTTTGAGGGACCTGGACCCGTGTGAACCTTGCGAACTATCAAGCAAATCATGTTGGAAAAGGTCCGAGACTTGGACCAAGACTCAGTGAGTTGGAGGCTCAGTCTTCCACCGGGAGGATCCTTGTGACCGGTGACCATGGTGACCAACATCGGATCAGCAGACGTAAAGGAACGAAGCCTCATTGAATGACCATTGAATGACCATGCTCCAAGGACTGGAATTTGGGGCCGAGCATGTTCGTTTTGCTGCTTCCGATCATGCCTCAAAGGAGCGACTGAGTCATATTGAGAACAGCCATTTTTTTTGTAAACATGGCCACCATTCTAACACTATAGACTATAACAGTTTGTTGGGATGGCTGTGTGTGTGTGTCTGCTTTTTTTTTAGATCCACGTACAGTTTACATTTTGATTGTATTTATTGATATGGAATGGAACTTCTGATGTACTTGACCGTGTGCTGTGGATGTGCTGGCTGTTACAGTAGATGGAACTCATTCGCACTAGATACTTGTAGAATCTTGTTCAAATTTGGATGCGGGAGTGCAGGTGTTTCAGCATTGGCACCAGCATGTTGTGCTTGTTGTTTCTACTTTTCTAAATGCAATTGAAACTCATGTTCCAGAAGTATTTCGAGAAAGATATGCCTTTAAGATCCTTTAAGGACTCCTACTATCATTGAACACGTCGGTTGTCTATTTCTGCACATTTTGCCGTCCCAAACCCTGGCATAGTTTTGCGCAAGTTCGCACGAGCATCCCTTAATCGCCAGAAGCAAATCCTCTATGCTGAACAAAAGCAAGAACAGCTTCGCCCATGACGGTGTTAGGCAACGGATTCCGATTCCGTAGGCAGTTAGTCCAGGCTTGTCCTGACTCCAGAGGAGTATGCCTTAGAACTCCAACTTGACCAGGAGCTGGACCGGGCAGGTTGAAATCCTGCGATATTGTGCGATGTTTGGATTGGATGACCAAAATGGACTGAACATATCGCCACACGAAAAGATGATATTATGTGGTTATGGAATGTTATGGAATCTTATGGATGATAAGGCTCAAAAGCTGTCCCTGATTTGTCATTTTTCTCATCTCACAAGAGATGTGGCAGACAACATTTCTACTTGCAGCTTCAGTCTGGGAGTTTTGCAACGATGGATCTCTTGCCTGGTTTGCTTCCCTTCAGGATGTGGAACCCCATCTATGCAAGTGGGAATGGCACTGACCTTACTGATGCAATCGATCCCAGGGATTTTCGGCAGCTGCTTTTGGAACGCTTACGTCACGTCTATAATGTCTGGGTTGACAAGGGCTCAGTAGCTCGCATCGATGGACGGAAGAGAGGTAAGACAAATCAGATATCAGAAAGTTTGACATGATTCCAGATCAGCTTGAGACGATCAAGATGGCAATGTTCGGCAATTGCAGTTGCCCACGCGGGGGCTTCTTGAACCATTCCCCAGATGAGAACATTCTGGAAGAGAAAAGATGAGAAAGCCAAACTGCCCCTGTATGGCCTCTCCCTTGGGATTAGTTCTTTGATGCCGTGATTTTGCAGCTTTACTTTAGTGACTTTTTCGGCTGTCCATTGAATTTCAAGGCTTCAGCGAAAAGATCGCTTGGGGGACGGAGTCTGGGCACGCAGTGATACTGTATACACTGTAGGCAGGGCAGTTGGCAATAAACACTTACTGTCTTCCCAATCCACCTCTGCTATGTCACCTGGCAAGGATTCAAGCTCTCAGAAAGAGACCCCTCAGCTTAGTGCCTTCATGGATGAAGCTTTAAGATGGAAACTGTAAGTGGCCGATATCAGGCATGGAACCAGACGTAAATGCTCTTCGATGCTTTTCGGATATAGCAAAATGATGTAAAATGCATCGATGAATCATCATCCCTAGGCCGTGGCACCAGGCTGTCCAATTTTCTGTAGCCGCCCCAGGTTGTGGCCACGCTCACCAAAGTTTTTCCAGCAGACACTTGACCCAAGATGACCCAAGATGACCCAAGATGACCCAAGACACCTTGGTGCAGACTGGGGGTACCGGCGTTGTATCAGAATCTCAGGTGAAATTCGATGGGAGAAGTTCAACTGTTAACTGGAACATACTCGCAAGAAGTTTGGAAAGTCACGAAAATTTCATCGGTCAGCTATTCCCCAATATTTTGAAGTCACTGATTTCAGAGGTTTGGAAAGTCACGAACATTTCATACGTCAGGCTAGGTCAGGTATTAAAAATCAGTGACCATCAGCAGTATCATAGGTTAAAAACATCATTTCCCCAATATTCCCCAATATTCCCCAATATTCAGGAGTCAGCTTGAGGCGTGGCCCACCTTGGCAGTGGATCAAGGTTTGTACCCTCGGCAGGCGCGGCAGTGACCATCAGCAACCCGTTGTTTTGGCCAAAGAGCCAGTGCAGAGTCTCTCTCTCTCTATATTTAATATATTAATATATATATATATATAAATATTATACCGGTATACTCCCCCAGAAGGTTGAGTTGAGTGTGTTCATCACTCTTTATGACTTTTTATAACTTTTGATTAGCACATAACAACAAACAGTTGCGAAGAGGTAAGTGAAGCGCATCAGCCATGCAGATCGCCAGGTGATTGAGCGAGATTGGAATCGCGATGATGCAGCTGTGACTGTTGAAGAGGACTGACTCGATTCCATTGGGACGATCGGTGGCATTTCTTTTGCAGCAACCACTGCTTGCTGGAGACACTTTGACTTTGGCCACGTTCCAAGATGTGAAATTCAGAAATCAGAACCTAAAGGCAAACAACAGCATATCAGCATATCATATAAACATGATTGAACATGTTTACAGTAAACGTAGAGGGATCAAGCCACAAGCCACAGGACAACTTCTTCGAAGAGCATGCAGAGTGCCCCTTGAGTGTTGGTGCGGCAAGGAGCACTGGTGGCTCCCAATTACGCATTTCGATCCACCTTAGGATGTAGTACAGGATAGCATCTGAGCGTTGGTATGATGTTTGGCCGAAAAACTGTTGGGTTTTCAATCAAATCCCACAAAATGAATAGTGGCACTGGCACAGGGTGGAATTCTATGATTGGCAACATCTGTCTCTTCGTATTCTCCTGTACTCGGTCAAATTCGGCCCAAGCATTTTGCAAACATAGTTGAATCACGACACTTGCTGGACATCGACATCGCCATGCAGATATTCGTCCGCAGCTCAGTGACACTCTTGGCATCCAAAAGCCATCAGGTCTTCAGTCCATTCAGAGATTCTGAGTCAGTTCTGATTGTATAAAATCTCAGAATATTCTCAGAATTTTTGGAGTGTCAAGGTCAAGACCTTGACAGGCAAGACGATCACCCTCGACGTAGAGGTCGGGTCACCTGGTTATGCCCGATCAAGGTGACAACTTGGTATGTTCAGACACTAGGAAATCCACATGAATCTACGGGATGGCGTGTATCCCCCAGCCCCAGTATTTTCGCATGTTATGACGCGCGCTTACCCTGACCTTCAATACTTCTATCTATCTGCTCACTGCTCAATGTATGAAGCTCCACAACTTCACAGCAATGTTCATGCAGGATCCTAATGCAGTGTTAACAGCGCAATGCTATCAAATTACATCCAATGACTATCTGGCACTGACGATCCTTGGGCATCACTGACAATTCCTGCAATTCCCTGCGCAATGAAGATGTCTTGTTGAAGTTGTAGGCAAGTGACACGATCGACAATGTGAAGGCCCTGCCCAGCTTGGTACTCGTAGGATTTGTTCTCCAAGGCAGAGAACTGCAAATCCCTCCAGCAGCGAATTTTCACTTGAGTACTTGAGTCACAACCGTAGCCTTTGTGGAAAGTATTCTGGGTGACTGCAGTAGTTCCAACGAAACAGCGCAGTCAGCGTCCAGGCTAAGATCCAAGACAAGGACCCAGATTGTGCCGAAATATTTTGGAGAGAACTTGCAGAGAGAACTTGTTTTTTTAAGAAACGTCTTGTTGTGTTGTTTTAACCGTGAATCATATCTTCCCTCCCAAACACGGCTTGCAGCTTACATTTGTCCATGACCAGCCACCTATGACATTGATGTCGTTTTGCCATTAGTTGTCAGGAAAACATGACTTCACCTGCACAGGAGGGCATTCCACCGGATCAGCAGCGGCTAATCTTCGCCGGCAAACAATTGGAGGATGGACGCACCCTGTGATTTGGCAAGAATCAGGTAAGAATCAGCAAAGTAAATGGAGAGCTTGTATGCAAATGGTTCACCTTCCACAGGTTTTTATCTTGTCTCCACCTGCATTGCCCGTTGACGTAATCCATCGTAATCCTGAAATATGTTTTCGCCCTAGCTGCACTATTGGAGGCATGTAAGGACATGACAAAGGTGGTTGAGCAACAGATACCGTAGTACAGGCTTGATTAGCTGCCCGTAAAGAAAAACCTAAGGACGATTTGATGACGGCTTGGGACGTCCCAGCCATTTTGTGAAAATTTTCCCCATGGCAATGTGCCCACCTTGTGGATGGTCCTTTGAGGTCTGATTACAATATTCAGAAGGAGTCCACTCTTCACTTGGTGTTGCGGCTCCGAGGAGGAGACAGAAGATGACAGAAGCCTGTGGAGCAGCTGGTGTATTGATGGAAAGGTATACAGCTCCCAGCTCGCCAATTTCTTGAAGTTTGTTGGTGGGTTGGTTTAAGGGAAGAGTTAGAGTTAAAACATTCGTATTTCATGGGGAAAAACCATGGGTTCCGGTCAAGATTTTCCCTAAGAATGGTTTATTTCTAGGTAGCTTCGCAGTGGATGTTGCTGGGTGTGCAGGATGTTGCTGGTTCTTCAGCTTCATGATCATTCTCACGTCAGCAGCACAGCTTGCACATGTTCAAACGCGTGCCTCATCCCACTTGGTTTTGTTTTAAAATGTTACAAATTGGATTAACAGAAGGACGATATGGACCTTTTTGAGCCTTGGATGAAGGCATGACAGTCATTGACAGACCTGGGTCACATCGAAGTTGACTCAGGATCATTGCCATGCTGATTCTGATGCCATGCACCTGCGGAACCTCCGTCACTTGGCTTCAGATCGATTTCAAGACTACCCCTTTGCGGATGTCAGCCAAAAAGAAACATGCGTGGATCAACCTTTGTCATTCTGGCGGCGATATGTCGGATCTGTATGGTCTTGAGATTCTTCATAATGTTCAAAGTCTTTCTGATATGGTGAGGCTCCATGACAGAAGACTGGACCCCACGAGAGTTCTTTCGGACTGCTGCGATGATGTTTTCTCAGCATCTCCCATTTGGGATCCCAAGCTGGCAGCCCAGGCTTGTGTCATCCCATTTCTCATCCCACCTCTGTTGGCTGGAGCCACAGTGGAGTCTGGCCGATGTAGAGATTTTATGAGATTTTGCCATACAGGGTTACAAAAATAGTCATCAAGTGAGTGGTAGACCTGTGTTTGCATGGTAGCCTTTGAAACCAGTATTTCTTTAATATCTTTCATGTTTTTTTCTATTGCAAGCTACTCGTAGGTTTAGGGGACATGTCTTGGTGATTCTTGGTGTCCAGGTGTTGCCATGCTTCTGCTTATAGCACCAAGCCTCCTGAGCTGATCTTCTAATTGGTTGTGAACGGAGGCAGAGAGTCACTGCAGCGAAAGCTCTAGAACTCTGAAAATCACGGCGGCAATATGCGACAATGGAAACTACTCGTAGAATGAATGGCATGTTCCGTGAGTTGTTTGCTGATTCTAATTTATCTACACACTACGTGCTCAGGAATTTACTTCCATGCATAATCTTTGTGAACAGGCTTGTTCAGTCAGAGGCCGTCCAGAAGATTCAAACTGAACGGTCTTCATTGACTGCTATAAATCTAGCAGGATCTAGAATCTAGCCCCCTTTTGACTTGTTACAATCGAAAGGCTTCTCCTTCTGATTGTTGCTTTAAAATAGGCACAACGTTGGTGACCCAAGAAAGGCATCTAGATAATATAATATAACATAATATATATATATATGTATAATATATAGCTTAGCATTGTGTAAATATATGTAAATTACGTAGCTACTGCATGAATGGGATCATGCTCAAATTGCTGCTCAAAGTGACAGTGCTTCTCAGCCTGAAATTCAGAGCTTGGGCTGGAGGGCAGTCGGCAGGCGCCGACAGGCCTCCGAAATGCCAGGTGCTGTCTGGTGTTGTCTGGTTCCGCAAGAAGATCCCGGATTCAAACTGTGTTCCCATACAAAGACTGACAGATCTGACAGTGTTGGTCTTGTTGGCAGATTTGGCCTATCTCGGTTTACAACCTTGAATCTTGAGCATATTCGTGCTTTTATTTCACTGCACAATTGTTGGCTGTTTGGTCGGCCAGTGCAAACACACATAGAATCCCTGAACCTTCCCTGATTTGCGAAGGGAAACTAGTGGTCCTACGCGAAGGCACCTTGATGCTGGTACGTGTGATTTTGCTTGTTGATCACATTCGTTCACGATGTTGTTAAGTACACTCCACATACGCCATGATTCATGCTCATCACTGGATCATGCAGACTTCGGGGTGAGTATGGCAAATGACATCGCTTTCCGCAATGATCTATTCAACTAATGCTTTGGAAGGTAGATGGGTTGGTTCATTGGTTGGGGCATGATCTCAGACAAGGCTCCAAAGGTTTCTTCGATGAGCGTCTTCCATTAGGATTCGTAGGGCAGTATGACTTGATACTTGATGATTGAACGGCTACATGGGGCATACAAAGTGGAAGACCTTTTGTTTTTGCGGCGCTGTAACCCCACCTTCGATTGCACGCATTTGCGAAACACATTTTCTCCATTGCATGTGACATCGGTTCCAATCTTTTGACCTTTGTCTTCCGTGCAGATTATGTGGGAACACATTATTTACACGCTGAAAACATGAGCTCAATAGCCTAAGAGGTCAAAAATCAGAAGGTAGAGTGTTAGCGAAACAGATACTATTAGCATTGAAATTATTGTGCGAACTAAACAGTCCCCGAACAGCCACGAACCCGGTTGAGAATTGGGGCGGGAATTTGCTGCAAAAAGCCAAAAAAGGTTTGCTACGAAATCATATATTATGATAATATTATGAGTATGTTTGTTTTTTTTTGCTTCATGAATATACAATAATATACATAAATGTGGCAACTTCATGGAACCAGTGGCAGAAGCAAAGCAGCAGCTTCAGAGGCTTCAGCTGTTTTCCACGCTGGGCTGCATCTTTGCGTCTGATTCCACAGCAGCACAGCAGCCATCAGCAGCCCATGCTGAGAATCACCAGCAGTGTACAGTACACTGTTCAGAGATGTTCAGAGCTGTCCATTGATTCCAAACATGATTCTATTGTCATCTATTGTCTATTTTCCCAATTGTTCCCATGGCAGTGTTTTTTTTTGTGAAAGGGGAAATTGACGACCAAATGATCATTATATGATCATTCAATGTGGCGTATTAGATCTACCGTTGATTGGCCTGTGAGCCATCAGGATCGATTCGGAGCGCGGACAGCGCAAGGCCCTCGCCACGCTTGCCTTGCACGCAAGTGCATTGTGAGGGAACAAAAAATCAAGTTGTGTAGATGGAGGGTGTTTCTTTTTGTACATGTTGGAAACAAGAACCTGAATAGACGTGAGCTGCCTGTGGACTTGACTGTGTTTCCAAACATGTACCCCAAAAACCAAAGTCGAAGTCAGATTACAAAGGTTTTGACTGATGAAAGTTGTTCGATTGGTTCAGTGTAATTTCAAGCACGCGCACCTCATTTCAATTGCTATGCCAGAGATAACGATTTGTGCTATGCATACAGACTGCAAGCCTCGCCCTTCCCGCAGTCCTTCCTTCAAGTTGCATGGTTTGGCAATGGAAAGCAGGATCAGTGGGTCAAGTCATTTTTATGTTCGAAGCTCGATTTCAATCTTTTTCAATCCTCATCTGAATCTAGCCTGCTCGGTTGCCTTAGCAGTGTGAAACAATTGTGTACTTATCAACATTCAGTGCAAATCAAAGTGCAATTCTCTCCGCCCCTTGGACATGATATGCCATGTATGCTGAACGATTGAGTCGTGTTTGGTTATTCACCTCTTAACAGGATACAACAGGTTTAAAGGTTATCAGTCACCCAGGCATCAGTGCTTTTACTCAACATCAACATCCCAGTCTCAGCCTGCCTTTGCTGTCTGGACCTTCCCAACCTCTTGTAGTGATGTACTCAGCACAAAAGTTGGGAAAAGGCATATGCAGCATACGCATGCATATGCAAGGAAATACATGTGTTTTCCGGCAGAGTCTTTTGTAACATGATGCAGACCGACCATAGCATGTCATGAGTTGCGTTAAGGTGAGACATGTCAGAAATCAGCTGCTCGCTCGGCCCTGAGAGTTTCAAGAAATCAAGACTTGTGCTGTGAAGCTCCGAAATAGTTGAGCCTCCAGTGTTCAGGTCAGAGTTGCTGGTCCCAGAGGCGTGGAGATCCTTTTTTCTCAACATCAAATTCAGCAAAGCAAAGTGCTTGTTTCTCGTTGTTTCTCGTTTTGACTCTAGTTGGGCTGATGTATCTTGAGATTTGTCGCTTCACAGGCGAGCTCCGTTGGTTGTGGCTGCGCTGTGCCGCCATCCACAATGCTGCTTCTCGCAACGATGTTGCTTGTCACAGCGGTGCTACTGCCTGGGTCTCAAGGGGCTGTCAAGTTGTCTATGGCTTTGTCTGAATGGTATAATTACACCAACATGATCAAAAATGGCCATCGAGGAATGCGGGCATGATGATTAAATAACCAGTGGATTAGACACCTCATTTTCAGACACCTATAGCCTATATCCAATGATCAACTGAACTCGTTTAATTAATTGTGATGTGTTTCTGCTTTTGCAGGTGCCACAGGTTGCATGCTGAGAGAAGTTTGGTCGATGTCAAGGCGCAACTTCCATGGACATCCGCCTTGATCAATTCATTTCCAACAATTCCTGCAGGCCATCTCTGATAAATTGAAAGAGGCACAAGTTGTGTGGGCCCCAGATTAGACACCGCCTGTGTTGGTGCGGCTGAAAGATTCTTGGAACAAGAGCTCACAATTGCTCGCACACACATGCTAGCTTTTGTTCAGACGAAACAGAAGATGTACCAGAAAGTGAAGCATCAGAATTTGTGATAATTAGTGACTTATTAATTTGTGATTATTAATGAATATTAATGATACTAGTGGGAGAAACTTGAGAATAGTACACAGCTGGAGCTGGAGGAATTGTTGACTCTCACAGCTGCGCCATGCTGCGCCTAAGGTCGCTGTCCAGTCAACTGCAGCAACCTCAGTTGGCCAAGGGTCGCTCGGATGTCAGGGCGCTGTTTTTCATCAAACATCTGCAGCTGAAATCGCTGTTGAAACAAGTTGAAGCAGGCGAATTGGAGATAATTGGAATTAATTGGAGAAGTGAGAACAGAGTGGAACATCGCTTCATCATGGCTTCATCATCGCTTCATCATCGCTTCAACCTTTCACCTTCAAAGGCTCAAGTGGATCACCTAAGAGAGGAGGTTGCGGACTTGCGCCCCTCAGCTGCACAGCAGTACCCGAGTTCATCGCTGGGCCACTGGGACACCGGGCCACCGGGCGGTCCTTGGATGACCTCCAAGGCAAAACTTTGCAGCAGCGGGAGACCTTCTTGGCCCAGGTGCTCTCCTCAAAACGAGACTTCCATGCTTCACTGGTTGCTTCACTGGTTGCTTCACTGGTTCCTCTTTTCTCTGAAGCCACATGGATTTGTTTGAAGTACCCAGTCCCCCAAATTCATTGGTTGATCATATTTTTCCCTGTTAAACATTGTCATTTTGCAGATATATTCGGATATACCACATTTTCAGTCACACCTCAGGGTTCACATTTCTTTCCGTTACCTGGTGATCAGACGAAAACGAAGACGATTTGTGACGCTAATATATGCCTTAAGCTAATCATTGCTAACCAGGTGATGGGGGCGAAAGCCCAAGATGGACTGCCAGGACCATGGGAGGATTGTGCCATGGGTCTGTTCCCAAGAAAAAGATATCTCTGCCTTGACTCTGTTGCCAGAGGATCCAGCTAGCTCTTTTTGAGGTCTAGAAGTCCGAATTAACGTGATAGTGTGGTGCAGTGACTCACTGTCTCTGCAGTCTAGAAGTTGTTTGGCTTTCTGTGCTAGAATTTCTCTGGATTTCTCACATTCTTAAATGTAGGTATTCTATGGTATTCTATTGGTATTTTTCCACCTCTGACATAGCTTTGAAGGTTGCAATTCCTCCGGATGTTTGTTTCTCAACATTTTCTTCCATGAGGAACCTAACTCAAGCCCATAGCCACCCACCATGCACGGCTCCAAAGCACAGGAACCCCTTTATCCCAAGAGGCTCGTCCGGAGCCCCAAGCTGATGCACTTCACGGTGGCTACGTATGTCCAAAATGGATCAAAATGGGGGATATCTGGGATATCCCAATGTCGAGTTTCCGCTTCTGAAATAGAGAATCAAACGGTGGACTGTTGAGGTTGCCAAAGTTCGGCAGATTGATTTTAACTTTCACAGTGATTTAAGATTATTTGAGTCAACGTTCTTTTGCAGGTGATGTGAACGGCCGAGGTACCCTGCCACTACAACCGGTGAACCGACGTTTTGTGGCAAGTGGAAGCAGTTCCTGGGTGGCGGTCAGATGGTGAGGTAAACACAATCCACTAATCACATCCAATCACTATGTTGGTTTCTGGTTGATGTTCGATGATGTTAGATGATGTCGGATGATGTTAAATGATGTTCGATGATAGATGATGATAGATGTATAATTAATTTAATCAAGGTTTCAAAGGATGCAACATGATGCAACAAAAAAAACAGCAAGCCGTTTGCATCGTTTGCAATCTACAGTGATTGAATCTGATTGAAATGAATTGAGCATGAAACATGGCTGGAAATCGTTGAACCTCGAACCAGATTTACAATGCTGGGCCTTTCGCACCTGGCTCTGTCTGACCTCCAGCGAGGCTTTGCCATGTCAGCTGGAGAGGTGGAATGGCCAATCCATGAGGAGTGTCGGGAAAGACCTCGCAAACCCCACTTGTATGGCAGGGTGACACTTTAAAAATGCTAATGCAATCTAATAACTTATATTTGAAATCTGCAAACTGTGTCAAAGTATCCTGCAAACTGTGCACTTGAGTGATTCGTGCTTTACAATTTTTACTTACGGGCCTGCTGTCAGTCCTGTAACGGTGACTGCTGTTTTGGATGCCGCCAATGCAAGTTCAGGACAGCAGTGTTCACACAGCTTCGATTCCGCAACGGATGCGTTGACAGAGATCACAATGAGCTGATGAGGTAGGAAGGGGGTATTTTGCAGTGCTTAGTTATTCCAGCTCGACCATGCTCGACCATACAGATCATAAAGCTAGGGACACCTGTTGTGATGTTGGCCATGGTTTGACCATAGTGAAGCCAATGTGGTGCATGAGCCCAAACCATTTAGAATATTTAGAGCCAAAGTTCCGTTTTCATCCCAGCTACCATGCCCAGGTCGGACTTGTGAGGAGGAAGTTTGATTTTGTCGGATTTTCAGCATGATGAGACTCCAATGGTTTCTTCCATAACTTCCATCCATCATTTTTTCTAGCAGAACTTTTGCGGGCCGAGGTAAAATTGTGTGAGACGATAGACGTATTATATTGATTTATGTTGTATCATCACGTATTATCACGTATTACAGGAATCAATGGGAGATGCCAAATCCATGTCTCATTCTCGCCTGACCCTGTTTGAAACGAAATGTCAAGCTTGTGGCAATTTCAGGCAACACATGAGTAATACGCTAACCATGGGTTAAAAAATGTAACAAGCTGCACGCGGGAGGATTTGCTCAATGGCCCGAAGAACCAGCTGGGCACTGCTTCTTTGTTGTTTTTCAAATAAATGGCTGGGGGATGCTGGGGGTTTTGATGAATGTTCTCCTTTCCTGAATTCCACAAGGCCTTGAATGGCTTGCAATCTGATCCCATTGCATGCAAATAAGAGATAGCCAGCGTGCTAAGCACGTGCTGGTCTTGTAGATTCAGAATTAGCTGCCAGCTTTGGTTGATGATTCATGATGATTCCGCACACCTGCAAACACTAAGAGTGCGTGCGGCCGTTTGCGGAGCTTGTTTACTTTCATCACATCTCCGGAATTAGTGATGTTGTATTTCGATAGAGTGGTACACAATCCATTGTGTGCCCTGCGAACAATGTCGTCAAGTGTCGAAAACAAGCGCTTGCAAAGTCCCAGTGCAACTGGAGGCTGCGGCTATGGGTTGACTCCTGTCATGGCAACTCCAAGAACCTTCACGAACTTAGGCGTTGCTGCCCCTTCTCTTTGATACCACAAGCATTGGTTTGCCAGATCTTTGTTTCTATTGAATTCTATTGATATTAATGCAATTTTGTCACTAAGGATTAGAATATCTGGATTTGCTTCTCATGTTGCCTAGAGTTTGTGGAGGTACTTGCCGCGAATTCACACAAAACCAGAGCTCTTGGAGGAGATGTCCAAAGAGGGTGCCTGGCCATAACAGCCATGACAGCCATGACCATCTCTGGATAGTACTGGATTTTGGTTTCTGGGATTCTAAGTTAGTTTTGAAGTCCATTGATTCTACAGACGTTGTTCTTTAGAATCACTTTGCCGCCATTGGCACGATAGTCTTTGAGTCGAATAGGAAGCCGCTGCAGGTGTTGAAGCAGTCGTGCTGCTGGCACGGCACAATGCATGTGATCAATGCAGCGCAGGGGTGTCTCAGTGATCTTCAGCGGTGCAAGGTTGGATCGCATGGATTGGTACAGATTCGTACAGTGTACTGTACACAAAATCACGTACGAACATGCATTGATGCAGTACTATTAACGTGATAGATATGCAAGCCTTGACATAGCCCCCAGGATGAAACATGCTACTGACATCCTCCTGACAGATGTTTTTCGCACTTAATGCATCTCTTGAAGCTTCACGCTCATTGACTGGTGCAGATAGAATATATTCCAAACTTAAAAAATCCAACGGTTTCCAGATCTTTTGTCAATCTATCCATAAGATTTGGATTTAACATTTGGATGCTTCTCTCCTGGCTATCGGCTGGTTTCCAAACTTGCAGGGACCATTGGTGCCAGTCACACGGTCCAGTTGTGATACACTCAGGTGGCTGAGAAAACCTTCGCTGCTGCTGCAAAAGAGGCCGGTGGGTACTGTATCACGGCTGAGGTCTAAGGATACAGATGGATACAGGGCTGAAGAGGAACATGATGGAACATGCATCCACTGGAAACTCCTTCCAATATTTCCAATCAAGATGGATGAATGCTGATATGTTCTTTCTTGGAAGCAGGGCTGCAATCCCAGGAATTTCTTTACTTGACCTATCTCGCAGACAGATAGAGGCAGTCAGTGTACTTGCATTCCTTGTCACGTACCCTTTTGCTGTTTTCAAAGTTCCCGGCACAAATCCGGACTGTATCCTCTTACTGTCACCTGTCCATTGTGTGACATGCAAGAGCTCTCCTGGATCCTGGGTTTTGCTCAGATTCAACGTGTTGCGAAGACCACGAAGGTGAAGAAGGTGCAGAGCCTAAAGGGCCTAAAATGTACGGGAAATCTATGGGAAATCAGAATAAGATGAGTTTGCTAGGCTGCTAGGCTAAGGCTGAGGGCCGCAGCTTGTCTAGAAGCATTAAGGGTCTGGCCGCAAGTAGGATCAAAAGAATTATCAAACTCGGCTCAAAAGCAGATAACTAGCAGCGCGTTTGACATGGTGTCGTTTATCCTGTGATGATAACATGCAGTATTTGTCATGCATTTTTTGGGTCTTGTCGTATTCAGTGATAATGTGATATTCATTTTATTTGCTGTTCCTTTTACTGCAGCTTTCCACCTATAATACTTGCAGCACCCTTCAGTCCCTTCAGCTTTGACTCTGGCCCCAGATGGACCGTCTACGACGCAGCCTAACCTTGCGCGTTGTGGACCTGAAAGCGGCACGCCAACTAAGACGGCATTTGCAAGGCGGGGGGCGTCACAAAGTGTTACAACGTGTCGCAACGGCCACCTGTCATGTTGCCATGACCTGCACAATGTTGAACTTGTATGAACTTGTGGCTTTGTTGTTGACACCCAAAGCCATGTCATCCCTCAGTAACATGAATATACCCCTGGTGTGCATGTACATGTCCTCGAATTGTCCTCGTCAGTGAAGTTCCCGAAATATTTGGACAGGCCATGGACCCGGTTTAAAGTGCGCCCCGACGCCACGAGAGTGTCGCTACTACGTCTTCTCACAAGCAGGAGGTGTGGACCTCCGGATGATTTGGATTTCAGGCTCATACCATCTCATACCGCTACCAAGCACAGCAACATGATGTGACTCAGCCATACTTGTATCATCTTGTATCAGTCTTGACATGAGTACAGCAGAGATACTATGAGATGCTGTGAGATGCTATGAGATGCTGAGCTCGTGGGAGGATTGGTTCATAGAAGTCCCAGCGAAACTATTCCAACCTGGAACTCTGATCCTTTTCAGGTTTGGCGCCTGTCCCCATTCGTGGCGGTCACGATGAGGCAGCGGCTCCTATCCGAAGAATTCAAAACATTTCCAAACTGAAACATTTTTTTGTGAACCATACAGTAGAGTAGATGGCAGACGTAGTGGAGTAGTCGAGTGAAAATTTACAGTCGCTTCTTTGGCTCTTCTATGCTATGTTGATCTCTGTTGCGACTGTACAGAATTGCTGCTGTAGCTTTCTGCGGTGCAGGCGGTCTTGCTGGAGAACCTGAAGCTCATTGCGCGCCCACAGTAGGAGCCTCGGAAGCCTCGGTTCTCGGCCCCGGCCTGGGCGAGAAGCATCTCTGTGAAACTGTTTTTGAGAATTCACCAGGAAAAGGACGAAAAGGACGAAAGGACAACAAAGGACATTGATGCGCTGATATTACCATTACCTGGATTAGACACGTATGGTGCATGCCAGCTTGAAGACCTTTGCATTGTTCAGTACTCTGATACTAAAAGGATCTAAAAGGGACGAACAGATTTTCAAAGGTGGATATTATGTTTTCAGATTGCAGACTATCTAACGATGATAAATAATGATATACGTATATTAAATGAATTATATATGTATTATGTATTTAATTGTATATATAAGCATAATATTATATTATATTGCATAATTATATTGTAGTTATATAAATATATATACTATAAGTACATTATATACAATTTACAATGACCTCTGCTATATTATGCATATACTGCTATATTATGTATATATATAATAATATATATATATTATTTTTATATAATATATATATAATATAAATATACGTATATAATTATATATATAATGTTATATACAATATATAGTATATCATAATATATATATATGTCATATTATACTATATACATATCATAATATACATAATATATATAATATTATTATTATATATATATATATACATAATATTATAATATATATATATATTATATTATATTATACTATATACATATTGTATATATATATATATGTTATAATACATACATATTATACTATGTATACATTATAACATATATATATATATTATAATATATATAATATAACATATATATATAATAATAATAATAAAAATGATGTATATATATATAATATATTATATAATATATTTATATATAATATAATATAATTATATTATTTATTGTTTATTATAATATATATTATATGATGATATATATCATGATGATATATAATCACAATATTCTGTTTCACCTCCGGCTCCTGAGGTTTTTTGAGGTCAGCGGACCCTTGGAGCCACGGTCTTCTACGCGTAGCCGGGTGGTTCTGCGCAACGATGCCTCAGAAACCGAAAGGCCTGGCACTTGATGTCTTCGAGCGTAACAGTTTTAACAGGTGATTTGCATAAAGCTGCAGCTATATGCGGGGTATTTTTGTTCTACAATGTTGTGATGTGTTGTGATCCATGATTATCCTTGAAACACTGATTGGACTAACTTATAAACTCATAGTTCAATCTTCTCCATGTCTCTGGACTGTGAATTGCGCATACAAATATGCCCTCACTGGAGCTACCTTTTTGCTGTCGACATGCTTTCAGGCAAGCAGCGCATCAGCAGCGGTTGAGGCAGTGGTCACAGAGGGGTACTTGAGAAATTGAGATGGTCCTACCGCAAGAATCCAATAAGATCATGGACAGCTTGGATTAAAGACTGAATGGGACTAATTAATAGTGAAGCTTCCGTTCAAATATCCTATAGTTTGATGATGTCCAAAGCTTCAATCCCATCAAATGTGAGCTCATTCTGCCCCCCAATCAAATCTCAAGAGATTTGGATGACTTTGAAGTCATACAGATAAGATTCCTGGCACAAGCACTCCTTACCTAGCATATTTTGTTGATGTTTCCGTACATCCAAGATGTGTCGCTATTGGAGGCTTGACGTTGGCGTGGCCAAGGCTGGGGTCAAGACAGCTGCTACAGTATTTCTAGTTGTGGAAGAGATTAAAATCACCATAAATAGGTGGTATAAACATGTATAAACAATTCCCAGTCATGGGTGGTTTATGGCATTGTTTTACCCACATTACATGTTACATGCTGAAATCGAGATCTCCAGGCTGAAGCCCATGATTTGTTGGGCCTTGCCCAGCCACGGGCTCTGGCATGGCGCGGGGGTGAGGTACATTGGGCAGGGGCCAAGGCCGAGGTTTCCTAAAATGGGGGTCCCCAATAGTTGGATGATGAATGATGCATGATTAATTTAGGGATATTTATGGGTACCCCGGGTACCCCTATTTTAGGAAACCTCCTAATATATTGTATAGGTATAGCACAACATATCATAGAGGTCGGTTTGATGTGTGGCAACCAGTGCTGATTCTTCTGATGATTATGACAACGATGTTGATTGATGATATGGATGCTGAGGATGACGACCATGGTAGAATAGACACCCTTTTGATCCCTTTTTTCAGGATTGCGGATTTGATTGCTGTGAATGATTCATGGCACATTCTCTTTTCACTTCACCAACTTAAACCTAAACGTCCTTCAGCAACTGTTTCAGCTTCAGGAAGAGCTCAGATACTTCGATGGTGGAAACTTCACCGTGCCAGCTGCTTAGATCTGCTGCGTAGTTCTGAGATCCCATGAACATTGTGACTGGAAGAACTTCGCTATATATGTAGGATTACGTATAGGATTATAGGATAGTATAGGTATATTTGGGTTAAGAACTGAGTTGATTCAAGCATTTGGTCCTTTCTAGTTCTCAACCATAGCTTGCTATGCTTTGTGGCGGTGCTTAGAATCGCGTCTGTTCACAAGGTGGCTACAAAATGTGGCATTGCCCTGTGTGGTCGGCATCTTGGATGGACATGGGATGGACATCTACAAACTTGTGTGCTCGTGTCACTTTTTCAACGTTGGATCAGTCTAATCTCACGGATGTTTGATAGCTGTGTGTGTGACCATAAGCTCCCAGACAACGTACATTTGACATATATATATACAATCTTTGTCACATGTAACATGTTTAGGATATTCTGCAGACGTTCCTTTTGCAGCGTGGGACGCTCTTGTACAATTCCAGCTGTGGGCTGCCAGGGAGATGTCAAAAGCTTTACAGACGAAGAGCCTTACGAGGACAGACTCATTGAATTTCACGGATGTCGAATATGAAGCATTTTCCATACTCTTTCATAGTTCATGGATCTGAACTCTAAAACCATCTAAAACCTAAGAACTGTAAGAACTGAGATGCTAATTTCACTACTTTGCAGGTGATATTTTAGATGAATCTCTCTTGATGTCTCCTGTGCCGCTAGATTATGCCATCCAGGATTTGTCTCTACCCATAGCTCGACTTTATTTGGATGGCGGCCAGTTGGATATCATCGCCAAAAAGGCTGGGCGTGTGATACAGTGGCGGCCCCTCCTATTTCAAAAATGGAGTTACGCATATTATGAATCAATGCCACCATCTATATATAACTGGGATTAACTGGGGTTATCTACCAGTGATACGGAATCTCCCATGACTCAAAATGAGCAAATTACATCAAATTACACTATTACACCTGTATAAAGTCTGGTTTAGTGGCTGGATCTATCCGTTTTGGGTTCCCTAGGGATGGGGATGGGCTGTGAAGGTGCCCCTGGTCACCAGTCTGGCAGGTGTTGTGCCGCCTCTCTGGCGACTTCTTTGGACAGATGACCTTCATGGCCAAAAATGCTTCGCAAGGTGCTGGCTGGCTGGCTGGCTGGCCGAAGTCCCAACAAAAAGTCTCCCATCATTTTTCTCGTGATGTTTATATGATTTTATATGATTTTATATGATTTTAGATGTTGTCTACTGACCTTTGTGAGAGGCTTGATTATTTTTTTAAACGAAATTTCTTGCAGTTGTGAACGCACTGGAATCCCATAGCCCATAGCCATCCATAGCCTATGTACTTGATTGGTATGCTTTGCTTTGCGGGTCAACATGCTTTCACGAGGCTCCAGCGATTGGCGTCAGCATGGCCTACCGCCAGGTTGGCAATAGAGACTTTGTGCAAAGTTCCTGCTACATTTACAAGAAATCAATATTTCAATTGGATTCGAATGGTTCTTATCTCATGTTATAGATATATTCAGTTTGAGGCCTCTACAGATTTAGGTGGCCCAAGCCATGCTTGCATTTACTGTATGTATGTATTACTTCTGCGCAGGCATTAGGGTCAGCAATTCCATCGCAACTATGTCTATGAACTGAAGGATGAATCATGACTACGTAGTCATTGAATCAATCGTGCAGAAGTTTCTTCAGAAGTACATTCTCGGAACAATGATTGCAAGATCACACTGATACTATCTGATACTGATGCTCGAACCATCTTGGAACCCTTGCTCCCAACCTGAACAGATCTGAACAGTATACACCGCTGAGCTGCCCTGCGAGAGGAAACTTCCCAGCAGTTGCTGCAGCCAGTGGTCCAGCTTTCAACGCCTCGAAGTGGCCCGACAGCGGATGGGAACCTGCAAAGACTTACGGTGCCTATTTTCAGCGCAGGCAATGCCCTGATAGTTCTGGTTCCTTTGCTCGATTCGCTCGATTTTGCCAGTCCAATCTTTTGATATCTTTTCATGCAGCATGTTCTTAGGAAGCAAGTTTGAGCGGCCTGGCCCTTCAGAACGTGTTCATTACCTCCCTCACATCATCAAGAGTCTTCATAATAGATCAAACAATCAAGTACTTTCCGTGACTCTTCCATCGACTTGACAGTAGATACCTGTTGCATCGGAAAGGTTTGCCTTCTTGGAAATGCCCAAGAAGCAGTCTGAGGACACCCAGAGACACTGCGCTATGGTCCTGGTTGGGGAAGTACTTTGTTGGCATACTTGGCCACCGTAAATCCAGGGAATGGTGGTTTGATGTTGCGGATGGTTTTACCGATTTACCCAAGTCAGATATGAAGCTGTGGTTTCAACAGAAAGAATCCACTGTCCTCTGTGACAGTCAGAAAAGATTGATCCACCGTGTGGTTCTGCAGGACAGGCCTTGAGGCTTTGTTTGTGCTATTCGCAAATTACTTGCTATGCAGTTAGTAGTAGTATACCCCGGCAACATCCCAAGACTATAGTACTATAGTCGCAACAAAATGATGGTACAAGTGCCATGGACATCCATGGACCACTCGTGGTTCATGCCCTCAAGATCTCAGAACCTTGAGGGAACCCGGCGAGTCACTCTGGATGCTTTGAAGGTGGGATGGAACATTGTGGAACCTCCAAGCATTGCTTGGACAAATTTAAGCTGTAGCAACAGTACAGAGCGTTGAACTTCCTTATCTTGAGAGGACTTCTGGAAAAGTGCACATGGAGTCCTTTCCGATTTCTTCAAGGCACCACAGATCCACAGAGTTAGTTTGGAGCTACAGGTTGATCATGATTTGAGCAGGTTTCTCTTCCATTGGGCAGCTGTTGTGGTCAGCGTAAGTTTGATGTGTTGGCTTCCGGAGCAAGAGCAGCCAGAGTAAGTAGAGGCAGTACGGAAGCAGTAAGGCAGTATTGAGTGAAACTCATGTTGCAGGCCTAGTTTTCAAGGCACTGTTGAACGCCAACTGCTCCCCGAATATCAAACTGAATATACCCCTTTGAACTGTGGCAAATATGCTCCAAATTCTGGTTGTGTTTTTTATCATAAAGATCGAACCAGATCAAATCTGGATAAGAGCTCCTGACTCCGGGACTGAGGCTGCAATTTCCCAAAGTTGCCTTTGAAGTTGTTCTGCCGCTTGTTCTCTGCTGAATTCGTTGCATTGCTTGACATCCATGAAACGCCAGCGGATCTGGTGGCTAATTTAGGATCAGCAGCCGGGTCGGGCAACTTGGGCGATCTAGTCGATTAAACCGATAGTTTGGCCTTGATTGTAATGGTTGTGACCTCAGAGTGCCAAGGGATGCCAAGCGATGCATATCGGATCATATCGGCATGTGGCTCCGAATGGCTCCGATATTGACCTGTTCTATCCTGTGTTCCTATGGACTCCACAACATTCTTTGATTCAAAGATTTCGCACACATACCCAAAGACTTGATGAACACCTTCCCAAACCATGGATTTCGCCACAAAGATAGGCAGTTCATGGCAGTTTGAAGTGGGGATTTGGAGAGGTCTGATGAGAAAACGGCGCAATCGCCTTAGGTTGTCGGTGATGCTCCAGTTCCGCCGTGCACTCCGTGCGGCCCGTCACCGATACGTGCACTCCGGATGGGTCAAGTTACCTATGAAAATATGGCTGGGGAAATAAACATCCATAAACCAGTGATTTTGGGGTACCATCCGGGGGCTTTTGGCTCATAGCCACATGTTTTCGGAAGGAATCTTGTGTGGTCTGAATAGAATAGATTCAGGATGATTCAGGAATTCTCACTCTCGATCAGAACGAATCCTTCATAACATTTCATAACAAGCCTGCCGATATGCTAATGAGAGTTTTGCTAATATGAAGCCTGTTGTTTTGCTAATTCTTCCTGAGCTATATTCTTCATAACAATTCTTCATCCCTGTGAGTTTTGCGAATTTGGCGCCCGCTGAGGTTATCAACCCTTAGATGCTCCTGAATTGGATCGTGAGGTGTCAAGGTTTGCACTCCCACCTGCCAGGAGCCCAGTGGCGATGCTGTGATGATTTCAAAGTTTGAGAAGAAAAACATAGAAAAACCATGGAAAACTATGGACAACACCTGTTGAGGATATCAGGATATCATATAGACATATAATATATAAACTTCACTGACTCACTGTTGCAACATTTACGGTCCTGAAGATGTCATGATATGATATGCCAATCTTTACTGTCGTTCGTGTACCTTTTGCAGTCCATAAGGTGAATTAGGACCAAACTTTGATTACCTTACATTGAGGCTATGACTCCTGAGCCAAGTGACGACTTGGGATTCTATAATTTTTCATGGGAGGCGACGTCAGTGCAGGGGGTGGGTATGGATAAGCAGGGCCCATCACAATTGAGACCTGGAAGGTGAGAAGCAATTGTCGATGATGGTTGGCTTTCCTACCAAACATGCGACTCTTTCGAGCAGAATTCCTGACATCAATTCATAATTCATCCAATTCATCAGTCCATCGTCCATTGTCTAATCCTGTCATATCCATTCATATCATATCTATCCTGAGTTTTCCGCGCCAGGCACCTGTGCACTTGCACGCCACGAACAATGAGATCACTGAAGGCCGCCGCGAAGTTATGGTGAAGTCATTGAGATATTGCGGGATTGACGGACACAACCACAACTGACATGACACTGGAGCTCTCATTCGTCACTCAAGCACTTGCATTCTCCTGTCTTTTTTCACCGTGTTCAAGCATTTCAAGCATTCTTGCTTGAATTTTTAAGCAACATGTCTGACATATTTCTTCCAATGTCATTGCAAAATCCATAGAGTCAGACGACCACTGGGGCTTCATCCTGAGCCCCCTGAGGCAAAGGTAAGATTGGCTCACTTCTCTTCAAGGCGGTAATGGTTCGGAGACTCAGAAGCCTGCAATTTGTCCTATTTGGTAGCGCTGCAGTGTTGAAATTGCTGGCTGGAAACTTGGCGAAACTTCTGACTGACTTGTTGTATCTTGATGTACTGTTGAATGCTGAGACTTTGATCAACGAAGGGCAGAAGGTGAAAGATTCTGAGGCATGTGGCCTTAGGGGTGTCGGGTCAGAGTTGGCCAACACAAGGGTCTTTGCGATTCTCCACAGCTTGGTCAGCTTGGCCTAGTGATATCTAGTGATCTTGGATATTCTTGGATAACTTTCATGGCCACAAGGATGTGGATCTTTGTGCACCGACTTGATGTGATTTCAATGGAGTTCAAGTACTTACTTGCGTATTTTGTGTCCATGAATGCATTGTTCTCATAGATCATCATAGATCATCGTAAATCCCATCAGAGTTCATGAAGTTTGCATTGTGTGAAATTCTGCAAGAAGCCTGCAGTGCACCATGACCCCAGTGACACCTGGATGTTTTTTTAGACATTCCATCGCGTTCCCACAACAATATCCCACACTTCACGTTGCATGGAGAACGATATAGGATCTGCCTCGCCTTTCCAGTAACAGCGGAATCATTTTCGTCCTTCATGTGTAGATCCATCAGACAGCTTGTCGACATGTTTAGGTATGTTTAGGTTTACTGTACATCATTTCACATTTGTAAAACTCGCATCAATTCGCCACGTCAAGCTCCTGAGGTATCTGAGGTGGGTCTTCCAAAGGAACAACCGCAAAGACCTCATTTGCAGCCATCTAACCCTCCGTTCACGCCAGAGGAGGTGACATTGGGCATAGGGATCTGAACAGGGCTAGGAGAGGCCGCAGTGATCCCTTGACCTTCTGTATCTTTCTGATCCTACACACACTGGAAGAGTAGGCGATAGTAGGCGAGGGATGGCGAGGGTATTTCAGAAGGGAAGACTTGTCATATATATATATATATAATCGTCCACCAAGTCTGAATGCTTGGTGAGTTTTGTTTCCTGAGAACATTTTCTTGGCTGCGATCATTCAGAATTGAGACACTCAGAAGGTGAGGGCCAGGGATTTCTTTGTGACTGATCCGAAGCTGCGCCGCAGATTCCAGAATTTCACTTGCCCCAGGCACAGGACAAGGACTGCAGGGACCGCACAGTAGGATAGCAGATTCCACTGCTGGATATTTCGTTGACAGAGGTCACTTAAATGGTCGCACCAAGCTCGAAGAATCGGTGGTGGAAACATGTGGAAACATGTGGAAACGAGGAAACCATCTGGAAAAGTCTAGTGATACTTGACAGTTGTACAGTATAGACATGAATATACAGTATTAGCAGAAGGTTTTTTTCAGAGGACCCCTCAATACCCCTCACATCCCAGGTGTTATTCCCAGGTATTATCATGGTTAATAAGGGAAATCATCCCCAAATGGCCTTAATTCAGGTTAGTGAAATATTACAATTTACCCAGGTATTATTGAATGGCTGTCCCTGTGCCAGGATTTTGATGTCTTTACCGACTTGGACATGGTGAGGCAACGACTCAGCCAGGCGCAGGCAGAGACAGTCGCCGACAGCAACCAGGCGCACCGATGAGGGCAATAAGCTTGGATCATGAGAAACCATGAGAAACCTGAACAGATATCTCTAGATATCTCTAGATATCTCTAGAATTCTCTAGATATCTCTAGATTTTCTTTTAGATTGGGCGAAGATACGGCTTTTCTTGGACTCTACGTGAACACAAGTCCACTGACACTGCCTCGAAAGCATCGCTTCACGCTGCTCACACTACTGGGATCAGTGGACCTCCGTGACAAATGCTGTGAAGCGATGTGAATCTGTTGCGTTCCAGGTAGTGAAGATAGTGAAGACGGAACAGACCATCCTGGAGATGTTGAGCAACCACCAGGATCAGAAGATTATGAGTTGCTTGACAGCAGCTTCACGTGTGAGCAATGTTAGACATTGTTAGGCATTAAATGGCATTAATTAGACCATCAAATCTTGATCTGTCTCAAGTCCCGCATACGAAGTAATTGAAGGCAGGATGCTTGCAGCAAGACTGCAGGCTGACAGGAGCTCTCTTTCCAGGCTAGGCATAGCCGTGGAATATGGACTGTAAATATTGACATGGAAATTGTGAGATTCTATGCTTCAAAAACCACTATAGTCGTATGTATACAATGTAATGATATGTAATGCATTTTTAGATAAGTCATGTCTGGCTTCTTGATCCTCGATGAGCATTTACCACGCTCCGGCTTGGATGTGGTGTTTTGCAGTGTTCCACTCCTTGTGTCTTTGAAGATGTAAGGCCTCTCCCCGTATTTGGAGAAGCTTCTTGGCCAGCATCTGCTAGTTCGCGATTTGTCTTTTTTTGCAACATTTCAACAGGAGCTTTGATTGTGGAAGAGGTGGGCTGTGAAGCAACCCAGACAGGCACTGAAAGCCATCCTATGTCATCCTCATGAGTAGATTTATGCATCTATCATCTAGATTTTTTGTCATCTGGAATTCCCAAAAGTGATGGGGGCTCAGCTAAGGTCGGAAGAACAACGAAGGCGCACATCCACATGTTCCACCTGTGTCACTTTAGCTGAGGTGCCGCAGGATGCCGCAGGGACCAGGAGCCTATGTGGTAAAGCCATTTGGGGATCACAATATGATCACAATGACGAAGTAAAAACATCCAATTTCATAAACCGATTTGAGCGGTCAAAATCCCCAGGGATTTAACATCAACTTCAGAAAGCAAAACCCTGCAGTACGAAAGGCCGGGGGGCAGGTGAAAGCTCTAAATTGTGTTTTGTCGTCAAGTAATTTGTGAAATGATGTGAGTTAATTAATTATATATATATAATATAATAAATATATATATAATTATATATATATATATATCATTGTCGCTGTGTTGATTGCTTGGCGTGCCTGGCGTGGGCTAGTCAAAGAATGCCAGTAGGGAGTCTCGGAGTGGCAGGTCATTAGGAATAAAGATCAGAACTTTGGTTGTGGGCCGTGGGTTGAAACTTACAATCTTTGGCCACCACCATTTTTTTTGCCTCTTAACCTTGTGGGCGCTATGCTCAATATCCAACAATGTTGTTACTATGTTGTGCCGTATTTAGATATGAAAATTATGAAATGGCATTATCATAGGTTATATATTTATTCCAAAGAGCCACTGTGTACAGTGGCGGGGTAACAGCAGATACTCCTCTAAGCAGCTGTTTTTGAAAAGCTTTGCTGAAAGCCTTATCCTCATATGTTGGGTGTTGAGAGTACCTTGATATGAGCCTTTGGACAGGCACCCAGCTTGCTTCTGCGCCCGAAGCTCTTGGAAGCTCCAAACCCACATGGGATCACAGGGAGAGCTTAGCAGGGAGCCAAAGCTGCTTCTCGTGCACTGGAATGAGACACTAATGTCACATCACTACTTGAGTATCAAATACATATATATATATATAATATATAATATATATAATATATAATATATAATATATATATACATTAAATGTAATATAATCACGCCACCCCAGAACCTACCCCAATTCATTTTCATCTGCTGTCTGATCTGAGCCATTTCAACAAGTACTCATCTGGCCCCACGATCTGCTTCAAGCCCAGAACATTTGTGCCAAAATCAAAATATTTCCTCAAGGAAAAAAAGAAAGGCACCATAAAAAACAAAGAAACCCACATATTCAAATCTCAGAGAAAACCACTCACAGCTTCAGCAGCTCCAGAAACTTTGGTCCTGAATTTGCCTTGTTGTTTTTTTGGTATTTTAGGACTCAACACACATATATCATCAGAATTTTAGAGAGATTCAGACCCCTAAACTCGAGCTATCCATGGGAACGGCAACCAAGGCCCAAGGCGCCAGCTGGGCCACTTTGAACAACAGCTGGGGGCTCGGCCCCCATCCCGCCAGGCGAAAGTGCACTGTCCCATCGGTAGATGTGGAAAACCGAGGGAAAGATATGGAAAGATATGGACAAAAATTGGAAAACTATGATAAACTATAAACATCTTTATAGACTATAGATTTTGAAATTCTTCAAAATGGCACTATTTAAACACATATTAAATCTGGATTAAACCCCCAAACCTGTGATGTTGCGACAGAATTGACTTTGGCCTGATGTGCCTCGATGACCTGCCAGGTGAAATTTGTGACGACTAGATCGGCCAGATCAAAGGGACATCCAAAGAAAGTTGCTAAAACAGGTAAAATATCCAAAAAATAATTCGCTGTTTTCTGGCGAACAATATCCCTTTGAAAAGTTCTCACATCAACTGAACAACTGATTTCTGCTCAGTTTGAGCGGACCTAGGCCAGGGGAGGGTAACAGAGCAGCAACCTCTCCTAGGTCCTGGATCAAGAGATAGGCTGAGGGTTTCATCATTTCCGGTCCCCTTGTTGACCAGATGGTAGAGGCACAGTACGATGCACTGGTGAGACTTGGACAATCTTGGAATATTTTGGATATGTTGACATATGTTGCCACGTGTTCACACATGTTTTTGGGCTCATAACCAGATGATGCATGATATACCCACGTGCTGAAAATCATTGCCATTTTCTGATTTTTCTGTATCTCGCGGCCCTGCGGGCAGTGTGAGGATTTCTTTTGCACCTCACCTTACCAGCGCGAAATATTGCACACTGTGTCAATCTTCCGACCTTGGCACCCTTCTTAATTCAGAATCCGTTGGGAGGTCTGGCAAAGATTTCCAATGCAGCGGTTGCTGGTACAGGCAAGAAGCAACGACTGCAGAACAACCAGTCTTGTTTATGGAATGTTAGCCATTCAGTCAAAAAGTATCAATTGAATGATGGATCAACATCGATAAACACAACATTAATTATTAAGCCCAAATTCGATAAAGGCGTTTGACAAACTGTGCTCAGGATACCTAAGCTCTGATAAAAACCAACATTGGCTGATACAGCTTTGAACAGAAGGGCAAACTTACTGCATAGCATCGCAACAGTCACGTCTCACTACACCAACACATCATTGCGGCCCTTCCAGCCTCTATGAAATTGCGTTAGATGGGGATCATATCACATGCCAGATTCCAGTCTTTGTGATTTCCATTGTTTTTCAAAAGGTTGCGATTGCTTCTCCTTAATTATTTGGTTGATTTCTGTGCTGCCTGGCTCGCAAAAAGTGGACTTTAGTTCACGGACAGATGGACAGGATGCAGCTGCCGATCCTTGCGCGCAGTTGGGGGCCACTGAATGCCGTTGGTCATTCTGGTGGCCGCCCCGTCTTCCATGCAGCCAGCTGCAGCGCCTGAAACGGCATGCCATATGGAGCCGCTGATGAACTCTCTCGCGGCATCGAGGACATCTGGAAAGTGCGCCACTGCAATGGTCCAAAGCACGTAGAGACGAGCCAAAAACCCAGGCTCTGATGAAGTCCGTGGTGTTCCGAGTCCTAGACACAGTATGTCACACGTGTTGTCACAGTCCTTGATCCCGTCCAGGGGTGTGCTTCAGCACTAGTTGGGGAAGAGGCGATCTTTTAAGACATCTTTTGAAACGATGAATCACTCGGAAGGCCAACTAAGCAACTTCTTTGCTTTGCTGACCACTTGCAGCGCATTGTAAGACTCGATATTGCTGTGAGATGCTGTGAGCAATTCTGCTTGACAGCGTGAGAGGGTGAAAGTTGACCCAAAAAGTAAGTCGGCAGCCCGGCGGAGCCCCGTTGCCGTCTTTTCCTCCGCCGACCAAATGCATGGTGTTTTTTCGGGGTTACCGAAGACCCCAGGAAAACAAGCGAAAGTGGAAATGAACACCCGGAGCTGTGCATTCGGTTTGCTGTAGGATAGATCTGACCGCATCGGCAGCCCCTACGGCCGCATTTTTGACATATTCCGCTGTATAATTTCTCCTTGGAAGTATGACCAACCAACTTGATATCTGAAGGCTTTTCACTACTCATTTATTGAAGTGCAGACAATTACAGGCATCTTGAAGGATCTTCAGGGACACAGACTAAAGTGATCTAAAGTGAATACCTTTTTACACAGACAATGCAACATGAGATACCATGCCATACAGAACCCCAAGAAAGATCGTGCACTGCATAGAAAATGTTTCTTAGGGTTTCTTTGTCGAAACGGCTTGCTTTTCCATACCTTTCTCACTGACGGGAGTCGCTGGAGTGTACTATATAATACATTAATTATAATACTATACACTAACATCTCAACTCTAAGGAGTTTAATCTGTGTCTTACATTGGCAGTGGCACCACCCACATGCTAAAGAGGTAGAGTCAGTCAGGTAGAGCCTGATGGGCGTTTGGTCTGACACTTCCGAGAAGGCATCCACGCGCGCGACAGTCTTTGAAGATCTTTGAAGTGATTCTCCTGACAGATTCCACTCCCCGGAGTGCCTCGCTTCGCCGTGCACGGCCGCGACTGTATAGACCCAAAGGGCCACGCCCAAAAATGGCAGCCACTTGTGAAAGGGATGATGGACGGACACATAGACACAATGTGAATCAATATTAGAATCAATAAGATAAGATATATCATGATATTATGCATCACATTGTAATTATCATGCATGATTAATCATACCAAGTTTTTCTTGGTAATGCTGCATATATTGGTTTTGTGGGACGCAAGGTTTTGACATGGTTTGAGGATGTTTGGAGGTCCGGCAGTATTTTGTATTGAGTTTCCAAGCTTGGTCAGAGGAGAATCTTGGTAGTGAACTTTAGTGAACATGGTTTGACTTGTGACCCTTCAAAGACCTTGGAAGTGTGGAGAAGAGGCATTTTACGTTTTCTTGTCTCCCAACAGGTTGTGTTCATGTTTGAGGCATTTTGCAAGCCTGATTCCAAGTTTCTTTACATTGTTCGCTACCATTGGGATTGTCCAAGAAACCAGAAGCCGAGCAGGCAGTACTTGCAGGGAGGCTTGAACCGTGGGCAGCCTTGCTAGAAAATTTCTTTGATCCTTCACAGATGCCTTGACTTGAACGTCTTGGTATGTCTTGGTTTCTTCACCATAATCTCACAGCTGAGCCCTTTCGACCACAGCAGAAGTCCACCCATTGTGTTTCGAGTGAATCTGGACAGATTCCTTTTGAACATTTGTCTGCTTTGCGTTCTTCAGGTAGGAGGATGTCTGGTTCAAACATGTTCGAGTCTATTTGCCCTGGCCCTAGATTTCTTTGGCCACTGAGGTCTAAAATGAGCGAAAATCCTATTGAAGATGACGAGGCGTTTTCTATGTGGGATGACTTGCCTCAAAGCTCACTCTGGCTGGGATGAGAACTAATTCCATGGATGGTCGAATTCAATCGCCATTGTGTTGTTGGAATTTGCATCTCTTTGGATGTAGCATCTTTTTAGGTGGACAGCTCCTTGTAAGTTGAGCCGGTTAAGATCTTTCAAGTGCACCTGTTGAATTCAGAGAAAGACTGTCTTGGTGGATCAAGGTAATGGTATCCCAATGGTATCCCATTCACAACGAAAGCTTGAAAAGGCCGACAATTCATGAAAATTCATAATGTGTTGTACCATTTGGGCACCTGTTCACGTTGCCTCCATTCTATGGCAGAATCTGATCCTGCAACCCGAAGAACAATCCCTAAACTACGCTAAAGCACTGATAGTGCACAAGTGATGACAGGTGCTACAGGTGGGGAACAGGTGTTTGAGAGCCTGGTACACTTATATAGTGCAGAGCCGCTAGAGAACGAGATAGGGTGAGACGATATGAAACAGGGCCATGAGGAACAAGGGTGCATCAGGGGAAAAAAAGCTATGCGGCATACTTGTAACATATATATATATAACATATGAACTTGACGTCTCCGTGTTCCTCAATTTCCGACCATACGCATTTGTCAGTGAGTGTCAGGAGCCTCCGGTGGGAAGCGTGCGAAAGTCCGCGCCTATGTTTGCCAGAACATCAACATCTTTGCGGCATCGGATTCGTGCACCTGTCCGCCATACAACAAGCGATTCAAAAACTGGATCAGAGCAATGATTTTTTAAGATTTTCTTGAAAGCATACGGGCACAGGTTGAGTGATTCAGTGACAGCATTGACAGTGTAAATTGCTTCTACACCTGTGACATTTTATTGAGGCTGGTTGGCAGGCGTTGCCGAGAAGTGGTGGAGGACACTGCTCTAAGTCTCACAAACGAATTTGGCAGGGCCTGTAGACTGCAGAATCGTAAGATATCGCAAAGCCAGTCATGCTGTTAGCTGGTGGCGGATGCCAAAAATATTAACATGCCAGGTTCTTGAAACCCAATTTCAACCTTTCAACACCTTTCAACCATCTCTCTGTGCTTCAGTCAGACTCGGTTGGCAGACGATTGCGACAGTATACGACGTCGAATGCTTTCCGATCTAGACAGGAGAGTCCCTCTGAAGTTCTGATAGAGGCGCCCTTGGCTGGGAACAAACATCCATAATGTGGTGCATGATTCTGCATGATGTAGGACAATGTTCATCATATGTTCATCATATGTTCATCATATGTTCATCAATGTTGTGTTGCTGCACTTACATTCAGATTCTTCAGAGTTCTACGGCCCTTTACGTTAATTGTCCTGATATTTCGGGGCTTCAGTCCTTGTATTACAGTCTTGCGGGAGCTTCCTCTGTCCTTGTGCCACTATTGCTCCCTTTGGTTTCAAAAAGTATTTGTCATGGACAGACCTTTCATTTTCATAAAGATTCTCAGGTCCACTAAAGCTGAGGCATGACCTTTGAATCTTCTGAGCAGAAATCACCAAGTTTGTATATGTGTGTATTTGAGTCTACTACAAAGCCATGCAAAGTCGTGAATTCTTCAGAGTTGGTCACTTCGATGTCCTTTTTTAGCTTCACTATATTGGGGATTATCATCCATAATCCATCATAATCCATCATAATCAACATCCCAATATAGTGAACCTATAGTTATCTATCATCCATCATAATCCAGCTGAGAATCTCAACCAAAATCCCAGGGGAATCTGCAGTCGTCGCAGGGTTTTGATGAGTGGCGCCGAGACCATCCCAGACGGACCTTGCAGCTGGATCTCCTTTCGTCGAAATCCCAGAGCCAAGCCGCATGCCCCGCAAAATGTCTATGGACGATTTACCGGCCAGAAGATATTGGAAGCTTGTCGTGGTTGCAGTTCAAAGTTCTTAACACCTACCTGGCCCAATACTTGCAGCAAGCAACTTAGCAGAGGAACTATCTTCCGTTTCCTTCCACTCAATCCAGTCCGGAGAAAATTACTACACCTAGGGTCCATGCACGAAATCTGCTTTGTTTCTGGTGTTTAAAGTATTGGGATGTATTGGGAGCTTGACCCTGCCATGGTTTGCGACCAAGGCCAATGTTAGCGGAATGGAATATCACCGTCAGTGTCTCAAAGCTTCGTGGCCTATCCAACAAAAATCCATATACACATATATTATATAATATACATGTAACATATGTATATATATATATCTTAAGAAAATCCAATGACATATCCTGTTTGATCTTGGTTGGGATGATGTTTTGAACCATATGCCTGGAAAATAGAGTCAACCTACCAGTAGCACATCACCTATCCACCTTGCAGTAGTTGAAGATCATGAGTCTGAGATGATCTGAGATTCCGCACAGCCCAGGTCTACAGGTTGGACTTTGGTGCCAATGAGGTGCAGACCTGTTGGTGTAGGGCCTACCTGCCCAGTTCTTTGCTGTCCCGAACGGCTTGGGATATTGAGAACTCACGGTACCTGGACGTGGAAGCTGTCAGAATTGGTTATTCCATGTTATTCCTCAGCAAAAGTCTGGCCGCCAGTGTCCGTCGGACGTCCTGAGAAGCATCTCTGCGGGATATTCTGGCTACTTCTTCGCGCACGCACACGCAAGGCAGGGCCATTTCCAATCATTCAATCATCATCAATCATCCAGGTTTGGATGAGACGTACGCT